TCAGAGATAATTAACACCTCTACTACTTGCAAGCTGATAATGAATATCAGACTACAGAACATCTGCCAATTCAAGGGTTACTCACCAGATGAACAATCTTATTGAAAGCTTCCTGTAACTTGCCATGGATGATAGCAAGTTTCTTGTAGTCTCTGTTAGCTTCATGGATTGGGATCAAGATCTTGTACACCTCATTAACAGCTTCAAACATGCCAGCCTAGGTAGAAAAGTCAAACCAAGACGACCACAGGGACAACTCATTTTACCAATCCATTCACTGGTCAATCATTTGATCCGTTTTAACCAAACAAACTCTTTGATAATGCCATAAAATCCTTAGAGTTTGTGACTAAATCACAGAACTGCTGAAGTAAACATTCATTGTCAATAATCGTTTACGCTATAATAAATCGCCTAAGTAATGGGAATTACTATGGCTCAATCTACCAATCAATTAAATCCGTCAATGAAGTCACCAATAAAAAACTTTAAGGACGTAACATATTCCTTACTAGTCAGCTACTCAGTCAATCAATCACCAATTAAACTGATCAATAATTGCCAAATTTATACCTACCAGATTAAAGGATGCAGCAGCATGTTCCAATAATCCCACTAAACCACTCTCAGTGAAATATTTGCCTGTACAGATGCCTTCCTCATCAGGTGAAACCACATCGTCAGACACAGCACTCTCCTCAAGAACATTACAAGAGATTTTCTGAGGAAAAGAACATCAAGATATTTATTTCACATTTATCTATTGATCACTAAAGAAATGTTGTCTATTGATCACTAAAGAAATGTTGTCTATTGATCACTAAAGAAATGTTTCACTTCTTATTAAAATAAAAAGACGTGGGTTTGTATCACATAAAGATCTAGTAGAATGTACAGTCTCTAATACATTACAAAGGACCTGGTGTCATTTTATTTAGGTCTAAAGGAATGCTCCACTGAATTTGATTGGATTCTAAAGGAATGCTCCCCTGAATTTGATTCGATTCAGGTAGAGATTGGGATGGGCAGGTTAGTATTGAACAAGTCTAGTTCCCCACCTCAAATGTAACACATCCTATGGGCAGATAAGGTCTGTCCTCCAGCATATGTAGATATTCAGCAACCAGGGCAGCAGAATGAACCAGGCAGTGTGCAGCTTCTGTGTGGTTTTTGTGTTCTGTATGTTTGCCTGCCATGTTCTGTAGCCAAGTCAAGCGTAGATCCGGTGATGTCTGATATCTGGGTAGGATAGGAACGTGACCATAAAAAAGGGAAAAGAATTGCACTGATGAAGAAAAATGATATTCTTTCTGTTTTCTTCCTGTTTTATTCAGTAGAGGTGATGCAGCAAAACAAATATTGTATACTCTATTTCTGAAACAGAAACTTAATTTTTCTGTGAGTTTACAACAACCTTTACTGTCAAAAATACCAACTGGTCAGGGTTGTTATTTTTGTCTTAATTTTAATGGTGGACAAAAAATGGTAAAATGTGACATACACAACAAAAAATTCCAATCCAGTAATCATTAGTCCAACAGAATTCACACAGATACACAGCAGCAAGGAATGAGGTTTACTCACCCCTTGGCAATACGATACATCAGATCAACCAACATCTCTGGATCTTCATTAAATTCTTTCATCTTGACAGTATCTGACAGGATCATGTGAAGATTAAACACAAGATCTCGCACCTGTGAAAAAAATCAATTGTACACCCACTTACAAATTGTGAAAACTTGTTGTGGAGAAATTAAAGAGGGAGTCAGGGTAGGGTCCTGGGTCAGCTCCAACAAGGTAGAACTAGTTTGAATGTCAGGAAAAGATTTGCCATTTGTCTGATTTTCCCACAATTATTCCAAAATCATCAACCAATATCCAGCACAAAAATCTCTGGACATTAATTAGGACTGTTTAATTCTAATCACTTGTGCAGCTGTTTGTAGTTTCTATGACTTCAACATGTAAGCAAAGAAAGTGAAACCAGATTCAAATTATCAACAGTCAGATTCAATTCCAAACAAATCCTAGAGGCTCCAACCTCCAACAATACTCATTTCCTTGATCTCCTTTTTTGGCCTTTACTATGTTAACAACAAATTTAATAATAGGTTTGTGGTAGCACCACAAAAAAAATATATTCTTTGTAAATATGTGTGGTTCTGAAAAGAACCAGAGGGTACTCAACGTTTGAGACAGTGTGCTCTGTCTGGTGTTAGGAGACTGAAGGGATCAAATCAGTTATCAAACATTCAACCAATAAATAGAAACAAACTTGCTATTCTATCTTAGTCAAAAGTAGACCAACAAATTCAGAACAGGAAAGAAAAATGTCCCACCTGAAACGTAACTGCAAATGACTAATATATAAATTTCACACAAAAATAGTTGAAACTAGCACTGAATTTTCAAGGACTTTATTAAGATACTAACCACAAGATATATACATATACTATTCCTTTAGACGAGTTTCTTTTAATCCTAATATACCAACTTCTTTTGGACTGTTAGCACCATGAATACACAAAGACAGAATAAACTTTGCCTTAGTTTTCAAACATTACTTCCCAGAAAATGAGTTTCCTGTGCCATTTTTCTTAAGTCCAGGTATAACTGAAAACTTGTCAAGTTAACTTTCCAGTGAGTGGAGTTGATCTTTCAACATGTTTCAGTTTTAGAAGGTAATGAAAGAAAACTTACAGACACCTCGTGAGATGGGCAACATTGAAAGCCAAACAAACACAACATCAACCTAAGTAAACTCTCTCCACTAAAATGAAGTTAAATAATAATAAAAGGAACCTGTAATTTACATGTGGTCTGGCTTTCTAAACGATTACATAAACACCACAAAGTGTTTCAGTTTTAAATAAAAACCACAATCAAACTTTTCCAAGTGAACAGTAAAATTAAAGACGTGTTACTTAGTGTCAGTCTTCTCAATGTCAAACTAATCAAAATGTGAACTGTTACCCACTTACCAGATAAGTAGCAAATGCAATTGGGAATCAGGACAATATGACCTGATTTGTTTGTTCTGCATGCTTAATTAACAATTCATAAATACCTCAGACAGTCTCCCTATTCAACAACGTGCAAAAAACTGAACTGAAAGCGCAGGGCTTTGTTACAATAAATTGAAAGCCCTCTGACAGTTTTAAACATCAAGAAGAATTGAATCAATCAACTGCTCTACTGGAGTTTGGTTCAACTATTAAGATTAAAAAGAAATTAGAAACTTTGAACATATTTTTCGTACACAAACATCTGTCAGTCACTTGATGACATAAAAAAGTTAAAACACTCAATTGGACAACTCAAACAGTTGGATAAAGTTGCTTACTTTTTTCACTGGAAATTCAAGCTCCATAGTTAGTTCACGTTTCATTTTAAATAAACTATGAAGTGAAGTTGACATCAAAGGAAATTCACATCCACACTCAAGTTCAAATGTGTTATAAATTACCATTTGCATTTACATCTAACATGACCTGAGCCTTCCACAACTTTACTTGTTTGAAGGTTCACACCATCCTCAGACAGCTGTTCTTGAATGCTGCAAGTAATTGAAATGACCTACCTGTTTAGGGAAATCTGTTTCTTGCAACTCAATGTCCTCCTCTCCATATATCAGAATGGTCTTGAGTGACCGACGGAGGTACTCCTCATTGAAGTTGGTCTGAGTTCCTACCAGACTGGACAAGGACATGGTCACTTGCATCTTGACCCTTGCAAAATTCTGAAGGGGGAGAGATACATACAGAATGGTGAACAAATTTAAATTGTCCCTTCCTGACCTCTAAACAACTTCCCTTTTTTAAAATGCACAAAAAATCCTTCTAAAAACTTTAACATTTCAAAATTGCAGTTTTTATTCACGTCAAGTTATACATTAATTTTACAAACATAATATTTTAAAGCAAAAACTAAGACAAATCTAAAGGCTTTGAAAATAGACAATATCCATAAAGTGAAAAAAATGTTTCTCTTTGAACAGAGTACACGTATTTACAGAATGTAAAAAGCCATTAAAGAGCGCCTCAAAGGAAAACACATTTTCTCTGATTTTATCTGTTCAAATAAATACGGAAGCATCCACATCGAATGCAGTGTCATTTGTCTTCAGAGCTCAACTATAACAAACTTAAAAGGTTTTTTTTCTTTTCGTGCCAAGATGATTGCGTCATTCTCAGAAAACAGGAGAACCCTTGCCATATGTTAGTAGTGGATAAACCCTTGTGCATGCCAAACAATGTCTACATGCATTAATTAGCATGCACATTGTTAATCCACCACAAACACAGGGTGAGGGTTCCCCTCGTTTTCCTTGTTTTCTCAGAATGATGCAATCTACATTCAGAATTCCTATCTTGGCATGAACAGAAAAAAAGCCTTTCAAGCTCGTCATAGTTGAGCTCTGAAGACAAAGGACACTGCATTGGCTGTTTCCATATTTATTTGAACAGATAAAATCAGATAAAATCAGAGAAAATGTGTTTTCCTTTTAGGTGCTCTTTAAAAATATGAAAATACCACCAACTAAAGATCATTGTCTAAATATTAATTATCTCCTCTGCCTTCACAGGCCAAACATACTGGCAACTTTAAGATATGCAATACAACACTCAGGAGGCTTACTCACATTTCCGATCTCGAAGTTCTGTCTCATCAGCAGGTAGAGTGAGGCACTAGCATGGGACCTGACTGTGCTGATACAGGAACTGCAATGACTCAACAATCTCAGGCACAAATCAGCACATTGCTCTGTCTCTTCCTCAAAGAGTAGCTCTGGGTACTAGACAGAAATCAAATGCCAACCATAGTGTGTGAGGCGTTGTCAAGATCAGAGTTGGTCAAGGATTGGATAAGGAGGAATTGAACATTCAGGCAGAAACAGGCAGGCAGAGATCAAAGTTAAAATAAGGACTATCATGGCTGACCGCCAAACCCATTTTAGAAGTCTGTAGAACTGAACAAGAATCCCTTAACATTCTACAACTCAGGCAAGTTTCAACATTAAAGTAACTGGAATATTCTGCAGTGCCATAACGCTCAGGTTACAAGCCAGGAATTGTGTCCACAGACTGAATTCTTTTTAGCTCGTTTACCTTAAACACCAGAGATCTCTGAGTAGCCAGAATATTCTGCAGTACAATAACGCTCTGGTTACAGGCAAGAGAGTGTAACAGAACCTCCATGACACCTGTCAAACAGCCCTGCAGGTGGTCAGTGTTCTGGATAGACTGTGGAATGATTCAACAAATACCAAGATCATGAATCGTTAGGATGTCACTAATGGTCAGATCTGGCATCATGAGAAGCATAAACATGAATACAATGTACCTAGTTAGCAGTCTCACATAAATTATGCAAAAAAACACAATAAATGTTCTGGCATATTTTCAGAAGGTCATTACGACTACCTGAAAAGAAATTAGAGCTATGACAGACTTCTGTAATACGTTTGCTGAAAAGATTTTCAAACATTTTCAAAGATTTCTTGACAATTCCATCTTTCAGTTTACCTGAACCAAAAGCTCAATAGTGTCAAGAACCACCAACGAAACCTCAGTAGAAAGATGGCCCTCTAGGTTAGCATCATGCTCCAGCTCAGATTTAGGCCTGAAGATTGGTAGGAAAAACAATTGAATAGAAATGAAAACGTTGATGAACACTATGCTCTGGTCTTAATGGTGGTACTGCACCATCTTATTCAATTAATGAAATCAATGCTTGGCCAATGCCTTCTACATGGGAGCTCTGTGCAGTTCAACTACAAGATTTACAGATTAATGTGGCAGTGAAGATATGTACCAACAACATTGCCAGAAGTTGGAAAAATGAAACTGTGCCTATGAACAGCTCAAATGAAATTACTTTGCAAGACTGTCCATTTGCCGGACTAGCTCTGAATACAGACAAGTGACTTATTACCTTTCAGACTGCGTCTCCACCGCTTGCTTCCAATGAGTTTTGTCTTTACGCCATCTTAGCTTCTCAGATTGTCCCAAAGCCGGATTGAAATGTCTGTCTGCAGAGATCGAGTGAAGTGATCCAATCAATTAGCAATCAACCTGATGCTGAAATTAACTATTTTGTACTTTCCTGGGTTCACAGTCACCTCGAACTCTGTAAGGATTATCTTCAGCCAATTTACTTTTATACACAAGAAACCCATCCTCCATTACCATACATGTGATACAAATACAGATTAGCATAAAGCAATTAGAGCAAACCATATTGTGATAAAATGGCCTGCTCAGGGACAACCATATACAGCATACCTAATGAGCCAGATCCCTGTCTGCTGTGTCTTTGCATCATCTCACTACGAGCATTAGATGTCCCAAGAATGGCATCTTCAAGACGTTGTTTCACATCTTGCTTCTTCAATGACAGTCTGGACTGTCGTCTGTAGATCATCTTCCGTCCCTAGAATTTGAAGATAATTTCAACTTAATGTTACAAGTAGTTTTCACATGGGGTGTAGTAGGCTTAACTTCCTGATAAATTAGGTCTGGTATCCTACCTTGTACTCAAAGCAACAGATGCAATAATACAGCACATCAAGGAGCTTGTTGATGCGACTGACTGATAAGTCCACCCATGAGTTATGCAGAGTACATGGATCTAAATTCTTCAGTACCCAGAGGACACACAGAAGCAGGTCCTTAGTGGATTCCTCAGACAGTCTGGTGTGGCTAGGAGGTCGCTGTCAGAGAGAGAAAATGAAGGTATCTGTGTCATAATATCCATATTCTAAATGCCATTTGTGACAATGACAGCAAGAAAAGACCAGTGACAATTAAAACTCCAACACCAAATCCACTTTCTCTCTTCTTTTCTTCTCCTACTCCTATCATACCTGTAATGGAGTAGATTCCACTTTGGCATCAGATCGAGCGTACACACTGGTTCCCGCTATGGCCATAGCTACAGATTGATTGACTGGGTAACCATCTAACTCGGCATCATCGTATCCCATGGCAGCTGACGGCCGATTGGTAGAGCTAGCACTTGGACAGTTTAGCTGAGGGATAGCATCCATGACAATACCTAGGAGTGGAAGATAGAGAGCAGCCACTCTCATACGACAGTCGGCATCTAGGTAGCGTTTATCAGCGTCATGGGAACTGAGGAGATTGAAGACAGTATCAATAGCTTGACGATGTAGACTGCTGTTCCTGTGATAAGCAAATATAGAAATAAGATATCAGTCAGGAAATTCTGATAACAGTACGGGAGAAATTTGCATTTCAGTACAAGCTAACAAACATGCAAATGGTCCATGGTATATGCTACTAATTTCTCCAGTCACTGCAAGAATGTTATGATATGAAGCACTTACAGCGTTTGCAGTACGCAGGCCAAATCTGACAGAAGTAATCCGGTCAAAAAGTGTTGTTGACGGAACTCGGGTGTCAGTTGCATCATCTTGGATTTATTGATGATGGTAGGCAGAGAAGAAGCTAAGGACATCATTGAGGACATGCTACTGATAGATGGGGTAGGGGATGGGGGACGAGATGTCACATCAGATTGTAAGAAGGGCAGATTGAGAGTAACGTAATGTTCATGACTAACGATGATACGAAGGAACTCTAGCTTGAGTTGAGCCAAGCTGGTAGGGTCTGTCATGACTGTGATCTTGTTTGCAACCTGCGCAAAAATTCACAGAAATATATACACTGAATAAATATACCGTGTAAATCACAAATTCACGGAAAATAATGATTGTAGTGATCATGCACAAATTCAGGGAGGAACAAAACAAAACACATTTTCTTTCCAAGATTCCTTCAAACATTTTCTCATTTTTTACATCAAATTGTTCACTACTCAACTACAATTACTGCAATCTAATTTGCATACCTCTCTGCAGTAGTTCCTAATGAGTGCAAATACATATCCTCTGTCCATTAGTGAGAGGAGATCTTGCAGGAAAAAAGCCAGGCTAGCATTGAGTAGCTGCATGGCACGTACATCCTGAAAAGGGACAAGAAAATGTACATTCAATTAGATAACAGGTGTCATTTAGGGACAGCAGGTCCTTGATCAATGGTTGACTTCCAGTTAACAAACTTCAGGCAAGTATACTGCATAAGATCTTTTACAATAAAAACTTCAACTTTTCACAATCATTCTCAACATTAAATCTGCACTTGGACTGAGATAACTGTATTCTTACCTTGTTATATCTGGCAACAATATCTGTGGTCACAATGGTAACGATGTTACTGATATCCTGACAGTAGGCTTCAGGGAACCGAGTCTTCCTAGGTGAATCCAATCGGTCATTTTCAGCGAGAAACTGTGCCATACTTTTTACCTGAAAATAAAATAAGAATCCCCAACATTACGCTGTCTTGAAAGCCTTTTCTATCTGTACGAACTGTTAACCCAAAACAAAAATTATCGTTCGTTGCTATGGCATTAAGGTTACCTCTAACAGTTCTCAATCCTTCACCTGTTAGGAGGACTGAGTACTGTCAGGGTTTATGAACCCGCCTTAACGCAAAAAACAAATTCTGAGAAAATTATGAAAGTATACTAGGATGTTATCATGTTCAACTGAAAGTGAATCCATAATATTTATTAAATCCAAAACAAATAACACTACAGAGCAATTTTTTCCCAAAGCGCAAGCCATTTAGTTTGTTGAAATTCATTCTGACAGGGATGTTTTGTTCAATATTCTGGCTGGTAGAGACTCAATGATTGGATATTTATCTTCAACACTGCCATGCCAGGTACACTGTTCTGTGCTCTTGTAGTTCATGGTAACTGAATTAGGCTTACCATGAGTTCAAAGAAGAACCAAGCATGATTGAGGACTTTCTCTTTAGCTGAGCCATTAGAGACAACTAACAACAGGGCAATCTCCTCATGAACCAACTATACAAGACAGAAGAAGAAACCATACATCATTCTAAACAAGCTTATGGCATATCATCAATTACATGAAAATTGGAGGACGGTATACAATATGATAAACTTTGTCAATTTCGTTTGCCCAATGGATGCTGTACACAGAGGTAAGGTTGATACTTACTATAATACCACAGTCCCTCAGTACCCATTAGTCATGCATAAACACACATCGGTTTAATCACTTAAAGATGAGAATTTCTTGGACATGTTCCATACAAAACATGCATCAGTGGTCACATGCAGAGCATATGCTAGGAGGGAACCACTCTTTGGTAAGTACTGCCCTCTCTTGTTCACAAATGGCATCCTTTCACACCCATTCCCTGGTTCCAATTACTCTCAATCCTTACATATTTGTATTTACCTTCTTTGGAGGCACACGATTACCAAGCCCCATCACTGGCACATTACCCATTCCGGTGTTACCAAGGAGACTAGACCGACTGAAGGAGTGTGCATTGTACCGCTCGCTACCGAACCGTCCATGAATCATGCCTTCTAATTCATCATCGGGTGAACCAGGCCCTGATAGGCTGGAGCTACTGGTGCTTGAGAACAATGATGAACGCTGATTGACTGTGAAGCTATTGGAACGAGCGACGGTACCGTAGTTGCCTAGCAGTCGGAATTTATATGGTGGGGTTTGTGGCGAGATGTCTGCAACGTAACAAAGTAAAAAAAGCCTCAAACTAGGAAAAATAAAAGTGAGTTTAACCAGACTTTTGGGGCGTTCCCAAAAGACTTGGATCTACCAAATTAGGCCTATAGGTATAGTCACCTGTCATCAGAGGACATGAGCAACTACCGCCGCCAACAAAATACAGTCTACACACGACTTCTTACCAAAACAAACATTCTTTTGGACTGCAAAAATGAATGAATTTGCAACAATGCAGACCTTGCCACATATGTCTAATGTCTGTGAAGGTTATTTTCTATGAGTAATGAACCTAAACCTATTTCACTTCAAGAATTTATTTTTCAAACTGAGTCATAATCTCGAGGAACATGTACCATGGATTAAGAAATCGATGCAATGCCTTCAACATTAATGAGTAGTTTACTTGTATGACAGTGATCCAAACATAATAAATTTCACATCAGCATGATGGAATACATGTATGTGCACATGGATATCTGGAAAAGATTACTGGGAGGGGCTAAAATTGGATGTGGGAGGAAGACATGAAGAGACACAAGCTCCATGGAGTTGCTAAACAGCAAGTAAAGACTCTGTCAAAAGTCAATGCACAGTACAAGATGCAAGATAACCTTGGTAAGCAGAATTACGACGGACAAAGCAGTTGTAGCTACTCCATAAAGTCATGATTTTAGAACACACCAACTATCTGCTCTACCGGAGAATGTACTAACAAGACAAGGAAATCTCGAGGACATCACAAACAGTGCCACACAGTAAGAAACACAGATGAAAAGATTCACATGTTCTATGTACAACTACGCACGTATTTTACTGGCACAAATGTGTACAGTGACGTGATAACAGGTGGAACTTCCCTGGTACCCATCAATTCTAACAAACAAAAAACAGTCTGAACTCAGGAGAACCAGCTAAGAATCATCTTTACAGTGATGGAGACTACATGTATGGCATCCTCAAGCAACCATGCAGAGATGGAATACACAAATAAGACAGATACAAACAGTGGGAAGTACATGTAATGAACATTGGTTAAGTTTCACCTCGACCCAAATGGAGAATAAATCAATTAATTTGTTAGTATCAAAGAATTTCCCACTGCACAAAAAAGCCATTTTGACGTATTTCTTTTTAACACTTACCACATTTGGAGGACATCCATAGAAAGCAGTGTTAGGAAAAGCACAATGAAAAATTCACATCAAAAACAGTAAGATCACCACAATTTCCACCGAAAAATTTTCCGGTTTTACCCATTTCTGCTGAGCAGTTTTGAGCAAATGTTAATCGCCAAAATACAGCAAACAATCATTTGGATAAGCATTTTAGGCACAATTCTTCATAATCATTAGTCACTGTTAAGTTCTGAAAATAACCTTAGAGGAAAAGTAGACATGTTCTAAAATTTGACTATGCAGCTAAAATTGTTGCAAAAAGTTCTGGACACACCTTGAATCCAAACAGACTTTTCAAATCCAAACTTGGAGATTTCTCACTGACCTTGGACAATAGTTTCATCATCGGTATCTGGGGGCCTGAAGTAAAATTGGATGAAGGAACAAAGAAGGGAATTCCGACCATGACTGTCTTGACCCTTGTCTAGAAGGATGTGGATACGGTCCACTATCTCAGCAATAGTATCAAAACAAAGCTGTCCAACATGGTCAACTTTGGAGAGAAAAAAAACCAAAAGAATCCATGGGTTATGATCTGAAACAAAGTCGGAAGTCCTGACTTAAACCAGTTCGTGCCACAGGCAAATGTAAGAACAAATGGAATTTGACGTCACAAAAACTTTGCAGCAATATTTCACTTGAGTTAAAACAAGCTAAACTTTTGCAATACAAATATTTGATTCCAAATTCTAGGTTACAAAAGCACATTTGTGTTCACTGTTGTGCCAAGAGTGAAATGGCCCGAAGCCCCATTATTCTTAGGACTGCAGAATAACCAGTTAACGTAGGATTTTCTTACCCACAAAAGCTGCCTGGAATGGGTTTTTACCCATAAACTCTTCAAATTACAATTGCACTTTGACCCAATCAAGCACGATGCATTAATACATCAACCACGGAAATAAAAAAAGAATTCTGAAATGAGTGAACACATCTTCCATGGAACAAGTAATGAAAATTATGATTGTTTACACCTCATCCAGCGTCAAGTGGTTAAAGGAAGAGCCTTCTTACCGATCTGGCCACCAATGATGGGTGGTCGAACAATCATCAGGATAAGTTTGTCCAGAATGATGGGCAGGAACTTGACCAAGGGTTCAGCCACAGCATTGTTTAGCTCCATGATGCTCTTCACGAGCTTGGCCTTCATGTCTTGCTCACCGATGCTTCGAGGAATCTTACCTTCCTCTACATTGTGGCAACGACTCAGGAACTTGTCCACATATTCATCCTAGGAATGATGAACCATAAGAACAAATCCTCCATCAGTAAACAGACTGGTAGCATGCAAGGGGTTAGTGATTACCAACAGCTTGAGCTCAGTCAATCAGTCAATCGGTAATCAATGCTGTTCAAACTACCTATACATGGCACAATCATTTAAATAACACTATAAAAAAATAGTCCAGATATTCTTGAGGGTGGTGAAGCAATGGTCAAAGAGTGGGCTGGAAAAAAAATGTGTGTTTGGGAGGCATTTTCAGGGATTCAATAGTCAAGAGGCAAACCTAAATATTAAATTTAAGACATATTTTGGTCTTTTGCTGAATAGCGCAAAATGCGGGTACACCTCAAAACTAGTTGAGGGTGCAGGATAAGATTCAACAGCAGAGCTATGGAAAGTAAAACATGCAAAGTTACTTTTATCACAACCCAAGTTCACTCTCAGACTGTCGCTTTACAAAGTTTCACATGAAAGTGGCTCGACAGAATTACTCAAAACAGCCAGGAAATGTGAATCTATGTTCCATTTGAATTAGTATCAGATCTCACCATTAAACCGAACTATCACTCCAGTCAATGAACAATCACTCGATACCCCATTAAAGAGTGAGCTACCTGTGCATGGATGGAGGAAACTGCCTTGATTTCCACAGTAAACAGTGGTTTGTGACCATCAACCCATCGCATTGTAGGCAGCTGCACCTGTGAAAAAAACAATAGTTAACATACATCATAGCAAACTATGCCCAGACTTATTTTTTCTGAATTAAAAACTTCAACTAACCACAAAATCTACGGAAAGACATGCAGTTTCAGAATTTTAAACAGAGATGTCAAACAATGCTACTTTAATAGTGTAATACTCAAATATTGACATAGATTTACATAAGCGGATGAAACAAATCCCATTCTTTAACATATTTAAACAGTCATAAGTCCCACAGGAAATTTATTAGTTTCACTGCATCTAGTTCATAATAAACAAAGGAATTATACAAATCTCATCCATACGTAACTTGTAAAAACCCATATCCTAACATAACATAAATGAGAACAACAATTTCTTACTTGTAGTCTGCATGTTAGGTTGTCAGCTTTATTCTGCTTACCATATATGCTTAACATTTACAGGCAGTAAGACTGTACTTTGCCACGTTAAAATTAAATGATTATATGCCAAAACGTACTTAAATCAAATCAAGGTCGATGAAATGATGAATAAATTTAAGTAATCTGATGATCAAAGTGGATTACAAAAAAGGAGGAAACAAAACGCGCACAAAGAAACCAAAGGAAATCAAACGTCAAAACAAAACCAGGCTGTATGGACTAGACTGGTCCATTGTTTGTGATCTACTGCGATTGATTCTGAGATAGAAAAGTTTTGGAATCATGGTAAGTCACTCCAGGAGGAAATAAACTCAATGACTGTCACCAAATCTACAATGGAGACTTCTACAGCTGATGGACATGACAAGCAGTCACATTATACTGAGACACAAGAATCACAGTTTATTACATTAAAAGCATTATTTCTGATCGTAGGCAAAAATTCTTTCATTTGAATGCAATTAGGTATGAAAACAAATTTGAAAAGCTTCAGTGCACTTGTTTTATTGTCTTATGTGTTAGCCTCAGACTAAGTCCCCACATTTGACCTCCACCAGACTCAAAAGGAAATGGACACCACATCAAGAACTTCTACACATTCAAGCTGAAAATACCAGTAACTTGGATGTAATAGCTACAGTACAGTCGTGATTTAAACTAAGGCAGAAGGGTTGACACTCTTAATCCTTAAATCTGCACTTACACGTCACAACCACAACTAAACTGTGTCTGTAAGATTGTGTAGCACACAGAGAGATCAATCACTGCACATTATCAGTATAGGTTAAAAGAGGTCTATGACAATGCACATACATGTACACATGTTTGTGAATTCTACACTTTCCAATTCCTTCCGTTCTCCTTCTTCACAAACATTAGAATAAAGAAGAGTGACAGTGTCATACACACAAACCAGTGTCATACACACGGCAATGCTTAGGTCATTCTCTTAATGTGCAGAGTACGACCACCAAGTAAAACAGGGACATCATAATGTTTCATTTAGAAGTAAGAACAGCAACCATGACTGTTGCCAATCATAAATCATTCTTAAACCGATAATTTAATAATTAAATAGAAATATAACTTTCTGCAATGGACATGTGTACGGGAAAACCCCAAGGTTAAGGCACCCACTGAATTGGTGTACCATTCCAGGTACTTCACTGTAAGGTGAAACCAACTTTTCCTTTCACCTGCGTCTACTTTACATGCATGCTTGAATACACGGGATGCACTATTATCTTGTGTATGCATGCTCAGAAACCTGTGTAGTGCCCTCTAGAGATCATGCATCCAGCCAATGAGGCTACAGTAATGTGAAGTAGCACTCAACCAGAATGTATTAATGTGAAGACATGCATGTCGCTCTCATCAGCAAGATTTCAAACTGTCATCTCCTGTAATGGAATAGTTAAGCCTGCTCCGCTTCACCACTGCCAGGGCTTGGTAGGAGGGAGGGATGGAACAAATGGCTTCATTGAACAGAGGAGGATGTATATATAAGAGATAAGAAGGTCCAAGGGATGATAGGTCAGGGAAGAGTTTATGGCCGAGGTTGTTTCTGATTTTATAAAAATAGTTACGAGAAGCAAAACCCAGATGATGTAGTGAGGCCAAAAAAGTGATAAAATGCTAACTTGCATGAGATTGTTTCTTTTCCAATAAATGGTAGCATTTTCTGCAAATTAAAATGCAATGATTTCTGATGTAAATTGCGTTGGGCACCCTGACTCCCCGCACGAGCATGCCTGAATTATCACTGCACAGTCAGTCCAAACTGAAAAAAACCTGTTGTGATGAGGTTAAACAATTGAACAGAAATTTCACAAAACTAGTGACATCCCTCAAAGCTCTACTGAAATAAAACACAGGAGTTTATAGTTGGGATTAAATATTTGTGAATGGTATATCCCATACAGAACTAACACAGGCACTGTACCTCAAAGCTCTCACCAGAAGTTCAAAAGAAGTTCTACTAGAAGTTCTCTAGAGAGGTACTAATTTTGGACAGCAACTCTATAAATTTTCTCAAGAACCTACAAATGCACCATTCTACAGATTTTCATTTTAAAAAGGATTTCTTCTGCATAACAACTAAGCAACAGGTAAACACATAGGACTCTACAGCCTCCCATGCCTGAGATGACATATTCCACAAATAGATGCTTACAAGCCTATGAGAAAAAACATTTAGTTTCAATCTAATGTGCAGGGTGACAGAAGTTTAAGATGTTAGTGATCAGGTTAACATGGCTGATACAAATATTGGAAGAAAATGAATCACAAACCAGCAATACCTGAGGAGTCCTGGTGCTGTCTGCCTTGGACAATGCACGTGACTTGAGTAACTACAAAATAAAAATTCCTCCCTGAGTATCAACGCTGACATTCCTAAAAAAAAACTTGGATTGCTTGCAGACAAGCACAAGACCTTTCGTTCCTGAAGTCTTAGCGATTTTTATAGGTATAAAGTTTTACTACAAAATGAAAATCCATGGGGAAAAAAGTTTGAACACCACATCATCAAAACTGGTCTGAGCTGCACATCTGTGGACTTACAGAAGCTGAAACAAATAAATCAAATTCAACCCAAATTCTGTCTTCAGCATTAATATGTAGACATGTCTTCAAAAATTTCATTGCAACTTCAGCACTGGAAGAGAACTGTATTATTATCCTTTATAAATATAATGTATTACAGACAGAGTAAATGTTAACAATTTATGACAGTGTCCTTGAAACATAAAAAACAAAATAGAAAAAACTTACACGAGATATGAGCACTTGGGAGTAAAAAGAGAGAGGTTTAAAATACCAATGCCATTGACAAATGAATTCAAAATGATCAATAACCAACCACACATTGGGGCTCCACGAAATCAGACATCATTCAATTCTAACAATGTTTTTCACTCTAATTTGTTCATTCAATCACCCAGATGCACAGCAAATAAAATGAAATCACTGAAACTAATCCAATCATCTTACCTCTGGGCTGAGCATGGAATAACCCATGGGAGGCACGTCCATGGATACTGGCAAACTGAAGTCACCTACTTGAAGTCTACCATCACGCATCATTGGAAACCACTAGAGATATAACAAGTGCAGTAGAACATTTTTAAAAGGTGTTACATCAATTGGTAAGGCACACCTGCTGGTCCTAGAAGTTACAGGTTCAAATCTCACACTGGGAATTTCTTTGTTCAAGTAAACATGACCAAGCACATTGAAATCAGATATCAAATGCTAATTAACATCTTGACACATGTACACAAGAAGAAAAACATTGTTTCGAAATTGAAAAGTTGACTTGGTCAAGGTTTTCATGTGTGTGTGATCAATTTCTATGAAACGACCCCAGTGGCTTACTCCTCGTTTTGACGTATCAAGTCACAGATATCTATTGACATTGACCCCAGTTCATTTACTAGTGTGGTTCACTTGATGATTTACAGAAAAAAGCCACATCTTCTCCAAGTGATCCACAATGTCATTCCCCAGGTTAGCAGCATTCCTACTGTTAGCACTTTCACTTGGGTCATGATCCCTGACCACAGGATGCACTCAGGAATGCCACTGCTTCTGAAAACTCTCCCATGGAAACATGTTGGTTACGTGGGAAGACTTTCAACAAAGAACAGGGTAGCTCAGTTGGTGATGAGCACGTAGTCTAGTAGAGGGAGATCTGAATATGACTATTCAACCCAAATTTAAAGACAATTTTAAAGGGAAAGGATATGGGTTAATGGCAGACTCACAGTGTATCCTATTGGAGTTTCCACTGGTGTTACATCTTGTTTACGTTGACAGCTGATGTGATAAAAAGTGAAGAGCAGATGATGGTAATCAGCCAAGTCAGCTGGTAACTTGATCTTAACCTCCTCGTAGAAATCAGGTGACTTGTTGTGATAGGTGACCGATGTATAAGCATGGTCAGAAAACTCAGGACAACTGGATTTACCCAGGATGCACTGTGGAGATTCAAAGGACTAATTAAACATTTGGCATTTATAAAAAGAACTCACTAAATGATTAATAAGCAGTGTACTTTATAATAGCAAACCCCTTTTGCAAAGACATCTTCCATCTTGTAACTTGTAATATTAAAGACACAGTTTTTTTCTCAGATTGGATTCTTTATGCTTCCCTGAACATTTCAGTTTTACTGTTTGTGCTATCCATTTGACTGATATTGGAGAGGCATGAAATGGCCATGTGAATGACATGTGGAAAGCACATGGCTGTATGCGGTAGATGGTAGCTATGCACTGGAATGTACATGTAGCAGACATAAGGTAGGCATGTGAAAGGCATGTGTAACAGACATGTGGTAGGTATGTAATATCACATAGAGGGCATGTGGTATGCATGTGATAGGCATGTGACAGTCACACGGAAACACCGCAACAGACGAGTTTTTAGACAAGAACTTCCCATACCTTGAGAGCTGTGGAGGGATCCTCACCAGCCATAAACTGAACTTTGACAGCAATGTTCCTAGCTGAGCCTGATCGGTTTGAGTAGTTGAGAGAGTTGGGATAGACGTATAGCAGGTTGCTGTAACAACAACATGACTGTAGAAAGTTAGTAACTGGCTAATGCACAATGCAAAGATTGTCGTGTTCTATTTGAGGCTCACTGATTAAGATTATGTTAAATCATTCATTCTTCTTTTGACCTTCTCAAATTGCTTTTGTGTTGAGCAAGTAGCAACAAAGTTAGGCCACAATGCACGATCTTGACTTGGCTCACAGAGTTCATAGATCTGTCAGGGTTTATACAGGTGCCAATCATTAAGCCACGCCAATATTACCGATAGATGCTGTGAGGATGGTAAACATCTCTGGATGGGAATTCCTGGATTTCTCGGGTTGGTCTTGTCCTCATGTCTGGGTAAGGTTTGACCTGTTGGAGGTCAGGGGTCAAGCAGTAGGGTGGATTCTCAGGCATTGGGGAGATGTCAAGTTTCAGGGAACCTGAAAACGGAAAGCAACAAAAATGTTTTCGTTTGGATTTGAGGAAATGACTACTTGATCTTCATGTAACTTGTAGATCCATTCAAAATTTGGTGATAACATTAAGAAAGGAAAAACGTTTTATACAGCATTAATTCTCAACTGAAAACTGCTCAACTTCAAACAAAAACTTTTGAAACTGCTACATAAAGCTTTCAAGTTATACTGATCAACGTCAGATTTTAACTTTCAAGGCAACAGATATTAACATACTCGACTATAAACTGATACCGGGATGGATAGGAAACCACTCACCTGGGATACACTTGAGTCTTTTCAGAACTGATGTTGGTCGTTTCAAGTCAGCCAGAAACTTGTACAGGTCATCGTCTGATAACTTGTCTCCTTCCTATTAGAGATATAATAATATTCGCCTTGGAACAGGTGTAGGTGCCAGGTACATGCGCATATTAAATTATTTCAAACCAGGATGATACAAATGTTGTAAAAGGTTCATTGTGTATGAACTAATAGTGTGAGCAGAAGTAGAAACTTACTTGCTTGAAGAAGCTTGACACTGTAATTGTCACTGGATGGAACGATTCCAGATTCCCTGTTTCATCCTCTACCTTGTAGAAGCTCCGCCTTTCTGAACCATTCCTCTTCAGACTTGCTCCTCCGCCCCCTCCAGAGGGCCCACTGCTTGGCCCCACCTCTCCCCCTTTCCTCGGCAATGATCCATAGTTCTGGTCAGCTGGGACACTCTTCTTGCGGTTGAAATCTAGACTGTTTGACTTGGCTCTATCCATGTCAGCACTCTCAGGATTGGGATCAATGCTGTTTGCTCCATTGATGATGTTCAGAAGGTGGACGGCAGTCCAAGCAAAGGGCATGCGATAAGCTCCCAGCTTCTCACAGTAATAACGAGCATTTGCCTTTGCTTTCTCAATATGCTGCATTTTAAACAGACAGAATGAAAGAAAAATCAGCAGCTCATCCACTGATTCAAGTAAAGTTCCTCACGAATTGAGTATTCAAACCATATTTAAAATCAAACCAGGAAACTAGAATGTTACACCACTCAGATTTAGGCTGCATCTGAATCTCGTCTAAAGCTAGGTCTAGGTCTTCGCTCCATTGGAATTGCGTGGAGATGTGTAGACAAAAGACCTAGCCGTAGCTCTGGAAGCCCGTTTCGGACACGGCCTTAGACTCAAAAGAAAGTGAATCAACCTTCAGACTCCCGCAAAGTCACTCAACAGCACTTGCAACTTTGTGACCGGATATCCAATACTCTACATTATCACCAACCTTTGGGTTATCCAGCTCTTTCATGTAAGGCTCAGCACTCTCGGAGATGTCACCCTGTTGAAGGACCTTCTCTAGTTTGATTACCAAGTAGACATCGTTGGTTGGATAGGTGATGGAGAAGATGGCATTGCGAGCTAAGGTGGAAGGATCTGGGTAGCCTAGGTGACTCTTAATCATTGTCTTCATGGCTTCCGTGTTCAGGTCAAAGAAAAAGTTCTCAGAAATCTACAGAGATCAAACAGAGACAAATCTCAGGGAAGTCAGAATACTTCAAGATGTCAAGCGCTGGTCTTACAGCACAGCAAGAATAAATGCTGTCATCATCTTAACCTCATTCACTATCCCAGCTACTCATAACTCTGATATGACTTCATGTCTTCACTTTGACAGATACCTTTTTCTTCTCTCTGACATCGTACAGTGCCATGGACGCAAAAATTGGTTCCACTTCGAGATCCAGTCTGAATGAGAAATAAAAACCAACATGTCGATGAGAAGAAGAAGTATTGGATGAGTATCAGCAAGTTTATTTAGACGCAAGGTATGATGCTTGTAACTTTTACTTACTTGAGAGTGAGACACTTGACAAAGATACGATAACCAAAATGTTCTCTAGGCACATCAGCTGGCATGCGTCGTTCAATAGCCTCAGACTAACATTAGAAAAAATGATATAAGCCGAATTACAGCTAAGGAAGTAACAACCAATGTAATTACAAGTACAAAAAAATTGTGACTCCCAAAAGATTATGAAACAGAAAAGATAACACCCTTATTCTCTACACACTGCGCAGAAACTAGTTGCAAATACAGCTGTAAGGAAATATTGAATTTTCACAGAAAGAAAAAGATCCGTTTATTTGTCCTTCTATCTTTCTGGTGGACCATTCAGCCAATTATCAGTCAATTAATCAATGAGGACTTGATTCCAATTTGATTTCTATAAATACTGGACCGCACACAGATCACAGTCACAAGAAAATTAAGACAAAGACACAACAGACAATAAGCCTTTTGTGAGTTAAATTTGAATAAAATCTGGTACACTAAGTAATGTGATTGCATATAAATATAACAATTTGAGTTCCCCAGACGAAAGATGGCATTGCTATACCTCGTGATTCAGGGCAAGCTTTTGCATAGCGACCACCATCTCTGGAATGGACCAATTCCTTTGTGCCCTTCTTATACATTGAAATCATTGTATTGTTGCAAGGTGTCTCTCATGTAACTAAGCAAAAGCTTGCCCAGAATCACAAGGTATAGCAACAGTGTTTTAGAATGGAGAATTCAAGTTGTTATGTTCCCGTGAATGTAAAGAACTCAGTGAACCAGATTTTATTCAGATTTTACTTGCAAAATGCTTATTGTGAACTTTTTGTCTACTGAAGAGCAAAAACACAGGCTATGCAGCTCGCTCACTTGATTCTCACCTCTTCAACCACAGGATAAAGACAAAAAATATCTCTTTGGCGATTATGGGCTCGAACATCCTCATTGATGCTGTCTTGCCTATCAATGGGCGTGTGCTCCAGAAGACGGGGAAGTAAGGCATCACTCTCAGTGTTCTTGAGGTCAAAGATACTGGAGGCCCAGCTCCCTCTGGGAGTGTTGTCTAAGTGGATAGATGACCGTTTCCCTGGCTGGGAATTAAAAGCATCGTTGGAGAGAAAGGGGTCATTAAATTAAAATCATTCATTAAAGCACTTCAGTTTTGTGATCAGGTCAGGGTTCGAGATTACATCAGCTTCTAAAGTACCAGTTTAATATGGGACAAATATTCATAAGATATTTTTCTCATGTTGTTACATTTTTTTTAACATTTCAAACAATTTTTTGTGATTATTTAATGAGAATTAGACATAAAATAAATGAAAGATTATCAGATGTCAGATTATAGGATGCATTATTTCTATTAATCTTACTTCTAATAAAATAAATGCATTTCCTGTAAGGAAAGATGAAAGAGGAGCAGAAAGTTGAAAGGCAGCAAAACAATCCTTTTCAATCACTTAGGTAAAATGCCACAATAAAACAGACATATTTTAGGCCTTGGAAAGTCTCCAGTTATTACGTCAATACAGTACCCACGACCAGACAAGTAGTGCACTTGTCAGAACAAAACAAACCAAATGATATTAAATGAGTATCCCATGCATTTTTACATCCACTTCTGGAAATCACATTCTGGTAGTTAAATCATCAATCAAAAATAAGTAACAAAGCAAAAAAAGTAACAAAGCATGCAGTTAAATCTTTATTATTAAAATGAACACATTTTTCAAGATCGATGCCCATCAGATTGAAACTTGCAATAGTGATGATAATCTACCAAATTTTTTAATGAAAATACAAAAAAATCCACCAGTTGAAAGGTTTAACCACTTGCTGCTGGGGCAGTTATCAATGTTAATGATGCTGGTCCAGGATAATTATCATTTTTTCTGTTTTCAAAATTCTTTAAAAATTCTTATCTTCATTAACTGGACACTAATAAACGCGTGAAGGACTGTCTGGTGTCCATTCTAGCCTGACAGACAAAATCTATTGACGCCTGAGTATTTCAGCCAGGCCTGCAGCCTTGTAAAAAGAGCCCAGATAGTGCGGTATTATACAACTTTCTTTCGTTCATGATCCTGGCTCAGTGCGCTGCTGACCTCTATTCAATGGGGGCCAGATTAGTATGCAGCAGTGCTGTGTGGCTAATTGCTGCGGTGGTGATGGAGCGCTTTTGTCACTCTAAATGCCCCAAACCGTGGTATACTGTTCGAAAACAAGGCTGGATTATCTCCACTTTTGAGGATGAAAAAATATCGGTATTAAATGCCCAGCAGCCTGGTCTTTTGTTCCAAGTACAGTCTTTTGTTACAAGGCCCTGTTCCTTTTGTTTGAGTTTGGAGACCCCGGCCATGCATATAAAGCATATGCATCCAGATCCGGGATCCTGAATCCCCCGCAGGAAGGAGTTAACAGTTAGTAGCTGCCCCCCTAACCCCAACATATTTTTGTCAGGGAACATTTCAACATCCTCCAACGTCAAACAATGTGTCAAAATCCAATGTCACATGCTCTGTACTCCTGCAAATTTGAAACAGGTGAGCTCCATATGCAGTTATAGCGACTTGGCTCTCCAGTCTTGAGTCCTTCAAATAATACAACAACCAAGAATGGAACTTAGAGGAAACCAGACGTTACGGTTAAGATAAATATTCCATTTCAATGATACTACTCCGATTTTAAGCTCATAGACAGCATTTAAAGAAATCAACTTGGACTCATATCAACAATACTCAGACTCATCAAAGTGCTGCTACTCAAGTACTCTTCATCCTGAGACTCAAAGTGGCTCTTTCGTTCACTTTTAAGAACATGGTGCTCAAAGACCCTGGAGTGTCCCTATAGTTTCTCTGAGGTAAACATGTTTGCATATACATGTAGTTCAATGTCCCTGCCAAGGGCAGACAGTTCAATGTCCCTACCAAGGGCAGATAGTTCAATGTCCCACACAAAGGCAGATCATTCAATGTCCAACACAAGGTCATTCAGACAAAAATGGCAAAGAAAAATGTTAGAATGATTAGACTGTCTCTTTTTCATGTTTAGTAGGCCTACAAGTAGGCAACCAAAAGTTATAAGCTCTTGTAGTTTAGTTGCCAATATCTGATGTTCTCACCCTTTTCTTTGGCAAATTGAACCTGGACGGCAGAAGACTCTTCCATATATCAGGGCTCATGATCTCAAAACCCATGTCCTCATCAAAGGTAAACTATTGTTAGTTCAATAACAAAATTCACCGTTTCAAAGGGTTCATCAACTTTTGGAATCATGTTTCAAACAAGAAACCATTTCACTGACATAATGACACCAGAGGTTACTTCAAACAACAATCATTCTGTTCAAGGGCGGAGCGTCACTGTTTTGGGGGGTTCTTTATAAAGACAACACAGAGAAGAACATATTACATACCTACCATTTCAATGGGTAGCTTTCTTTCATCACCTAATCTTACAGTATTCATTTAAAGTTCTTGATGGTAAAAAGTGAGAGGCCCACAGTACCCACTCACACCAAATTAAACACCAGATAGTAAGCTACCAGTACCCAATGCCACAAACTCACACACTTTACTGGTGTTGAATTCTATGCGGTTAGGGAAGGTTAGGGTTTTCAAGAGTCCAGCAATTCCATCCCTTGAATCTATTTCCAGCCCAATTCCCTTACCTGAGGTATATCCTCCTCAAGTTCTTGCTCATCTACCTCAAACACCTGCTGACAGGCGCCCTCTACAACGCTCCTCTGGGTGTCCTTTTTATTGGGATCCACTGCCACACAGTCCTGATACCGGCGTAGGACCACTGCCCAATCACAGGTGTATGTTTGAAGACAGTCCCGCACCTGTATGTTACTGTCAGAACTCGAGAGGAGATGGGAAGAGTTGTGATTGGAAAGAGTGAAAATGATGTCTCACATCAACGAGAGTTTAAGTACCTCACGCGAATATGCGCTGTGTAACACAGCTCAAAACTGAAAACACGGGCTTGCAAAATATAGCTACATGTATATGTACGAGGCTGCGTCTGTATCTTTACTGTCAAAGTACTACACCAAGATTTGGATGTGGCTGAATGAGTATTTTCAGTTCAAAGCTCTACTATAATTTGAAATGTCTGCTTTTCTTCCTTCCACAGTGTAAACCAAAAGTAGAATGTACAGTCTGCATGAATACAAATCAATTTCAAACATGAAGAATCACTATTCGCCTTCATAATATACAAGCCGATTTCAATATTTGCTATTGCAAACAGTTAAATTTGTGAAACCTTTAAGATATAACCATACACTTGACAAGCTTAAGCCATGTCTTAATCACTTGGCTGAAGCTTGACATTACACACAACTCTATGGGTACTGGCTGCAGCCACTACCATAGACTCATGCATAATTTCAGGCCACAGCTAAGTAGTTTAGACATGACCCTAGATGATAACAAACCAACCACATTGAAGCCCTCCCCATGCATCCCCGATATAATCCTACTCATTTCATACGATTCTTACTCTGGTTCTGGCAGGGGCTGGTTGACTGTTCTGCATTCTTTTGTCTTAGATGTAACCAGCAAGTCGTCATCGGGAAATTCCAACAAGTGACGCAGTGGGTCTCTGTTATATGGAGCTCGATTTGCTTCTAGGAATTCTTCAAAATCCAAAGGGTCAACGACCTCTGATAATGGAACCTATAACAAGGCACAAAGAGAGACAACTTTTTCCTGTTGTAAAGACAATGTCTTGTGACTATAAAAGGCTTGATGCTAGCCTGAGATGCAATGTTCACTCCTCTCAGTAACACTTTCTAAACTTGAACCCAACTTGATGATTCCATTCAGAATTTAAGGAAAACTAAAATGAGGAGACTTTTTAATTCTGCTCAATCCATGTTACATGTACCTCAATATACGCATCGTGTCATGTAAATTGGGACAGAGTTTCATGCCCAGACATCATTTGACATTCTGCACAAGCCATGTGAGATTGGCCTGAAAAATTTTAAGTGATTTCTAAGTAAATACTTCAATATTTTCCCTACTAAATTTGAATTTTTTAGGACATATTATTGCTTTCTGATGGCTGAAGCAGAAAATTAGTGATGTCCGCCTATGGAACTCTTTCTAAAAATTAAAAAACTTAAAATTTTCACAAAATAGATGAACTATCACGAGGCATGATTATGTGATCCAAAACGTGTTAAAAAGTTCTGCATCACAATGAAGTGTTTACAATGAGACAACATGAACTAAAATTACAAGTTTTAAGACATGAAGTTCTACACACCGTGCCTGTAGCTGCTGTTCCTATTCCAAGCCTTGCCAAGTCTCGGCCGGAGTAATGAGAAGAAACCTGGCGCCGAATGTCAGCTGCAGGTTGATTCCTGATGGCAGACAAAAAAAATTAACTGTTTGACAATGGAGGCATCACATACACTCTACATTGCCTTTCAAGAACGTCAGTCTCAGACTAATTTATGTCATCGAGGCTACAGACACATGAGAGACTGTTACTGTTAAATTCAGGCACATCAGATATGTACTTCCAGAACTGTAAGGGCTATATCAAAAAGATGCCTCAACTGATAGTACTGAGATCGACTGATCAGTGATCAATAAACCCTAACAATTAAAACATAAAATGTTTCATTAATGGTCAAAACATGAGTTAATCTCTGACCATTTGAAGAGCTCAATCATTGCTCTATGCACAAATCTACTTTGAGAACTCTAAGTCTCTAACTCCGTGATACTCCGTGTGACTTAGAGGGGACAAGGTTTACATCATACACGGCACAGAACATGTCACACATCTCGCCAGATGTGTGTTTCCACATCAAAGCAGCTACGACAGTCCCATGATGAAAACAACACAAGATGTTATCCCCTGCCACCGAAAATGGTCAAACCAAGATGCTGAGCAAGCACGGTCATTGGTGGGCTCAACGCATACGTAGTCTGATAAACATGAACGGCATGAACGGAGCGACAGTCAATGTTTGGAAGCGAGAAATTGGTGAACAAAAATCTCCCTTTTTTTCAAAAATACTCTGTCTCATGCTCTGAAACTTTTGTTACCCCCTTTTTAGGAGGTATAGATTATGCAGGTATGCCGACCTGCTGACAGGAGAAAATGTGATTTAATACTAGGCCCAGCTTACGGCTGTAAACCATTTCACCACAAACATTCGATTCCAAAACCCCACAGCATTACGACGCCATGTAAACCTTGCTTCCTTTAAGGAACACAGAGTATCACAGAGTTAGAGACTTAGAGTTCTCGAAGTAGCAGAAATCCAGCTGTTTTACCATGTTTACTACCGTGGTAACAAACATGACACCAAATTCAAGTCGGGGGAGTTGTGACTCTTTCTACGCTTCTGTTCCTTGCTCTGTGGCTCAACAAAGGGGCAAACACATCAAAATCGACATCCAAAACCCTCTTTCCCTTTTTTAAGCCCTTAGGCTTGGCCATGACACGCATGTTTAATTTGTTCATGATGTCGACTTCCGGAAAGAGGGCCTATCGGCGCGGCATATAGGCCTACTTAGGCCTACGCCCCAACTAACCCACACTATCAAACCACGTTATAAAGAGCTTTCATTTATCAAGACTGGCATATGACATATGTGTATTACCATTTTAAGTAAACTAATAATAGTACTACTCACTTGTTTAATTTCTGGGCAAAAGCCCGTTGTCCCTTCCCTCCGCCGGAGGCCGCCATCTTGATATGACTCTGAGCCAAAAATAACTTGATAATAAATTAAATATTCAAGAATTTCTCAAATCCTGGCTTCGTTCTGTGAAAACCCCTGTGTCTGGCATCATGGAGGAATTTCCCCTCCATGCTGGCATCAACATCACTTGCAAACCTCCGAGTTTACAAAGTTAATTTGGACAATACAAGATTTAATAGCATAAAGTTTGTCAATTTTTTTTAGCAAACTATGGCTTTTTGTTTAACTGAATTTTCTTGTGCCGAAGAGTTTCATGTCAGACGGATCATTCGGAACAAAGCCGAGATTTGTAAAAATGCTTTAGACTCTCCTCGGGGCGTTTCAAAAATGTATAATCAAATTTGTTAGTGAACACTATATTAGGCCTGCATGGGTCAAAAATTTATTTTGTTTAAACATAGGTTGAGAGAAACAACTTCACTTCTTCTGGGCCAAAAGTAAACTTTATTGAAATTTAAACTATTGTTGACTAGCGCCCTCTGTCACTAAGGTATGGGACAACGCACCAGACATCTTCGTCTTGATAGTGGGAAAAACGTCAAAGGGCAACCATGCCTATTACGCACTGGAGGCTGCGGGGGGGGGGGACAATGCGCCCCCCCACACACTTTTTAGACTGGGGGCTTCCCCCAACAACACACACACCATTACCTGTTTCATATACAAAGTGCAGATATGCCTTTGTTCTCCTGTGGTTAAGAAAACTTGAGGAAAATGCTCTGTTTTCTCCAACTAGGATAACTCCTTCGAGCTGGATTTTTGATGATGATTTCCTGGACTGTTCCTCTTCCTTTTGCCACGGATAACCTTGACCCCAAAATGCCTCTGAATCTGTTTTTAAGAGAGGTGAAAAAATTGTGTGGACGTGTGCGAGTCCACACAACGCCATCATACCATACATCATGTGGACTTCTTTGTATAGAGGTCCCGCACACCGTCTATGTATGCCACGCCTGCACACTTTTTGTAGGTCCTACAACTGGTTGGGCTCCATGGATCATCAACCTATTCGTGGCTGGTGCCCCCCCCCCGAAAATCGTTCCATCGCCAATGCTATCTAGATCATTTGCGATTCAATGACATTTTGGCAGTTGAAAACTGACTTCCAGTCCAGATGTTCCAGTAAAGAAGCATTCTGGGGGTCATCTCTCAGATCAGTCGTAAGAATACCAGTCTTAACTTGAAGGAACAAGTAACAAAAGGACTTGATTGTAAACTAGCCATAACTACTGCATCAAATCAGAGCAAAGAAACAGAGAAATGGACTTTGATACAATCCGTATACGATCTTTATTAGACTCATATCATCCGATTTGTTGCTCAACAGGCAAGAAAACTAAAATTGTTTTAAAATACCGAGGGAAACTGATACATGTTAATTTACTTTTAATTTTAAAATATTTAATTCTGTTATCAAAATTCAGTTGGTGACCATTTCAAAGCAACTGTTTTCAACTTCTACAAACTAAAACAAACAAACAATTACTTGGAATTTCCTTCTTCCCCTCACCGTCTGAAAACTACCAAACAAAAAGCATTACCATTAATTCTGCCTACACAAGGTGTCAACATATCACTTCAAATAATGACATTACACATGTGATTGTATCATTAGCACTAGTCAACCCTATCTACTAACATTGCTTATCACAAAGTGTGAATCCTTACATTATGTGATAAAACACATTATAGTGTATATCATGACCCAACGCATGTATATGTGTTCTAGCATTTCTTTGTCTTCTTCAGTTTATTGTTTTATTGTGACATCCATGTACTTTCAAGTTATAAGTATGACCATGACAGAGCCTTTACGAAAACCAACAATACATGCAATATAATCGAAATCACCGTACAGAAGCGTCAAAGTTTGTTGGCAGAGCGGAAGTGAGCTTGCGCAAATGAACTTGCGGCAAGTTATAGTTCAACCAGTAGTCAAATGCTTTTTAATATGCGCAAGCATAATTCTGTTACACTCGAACGACCCTAGTCGGTCAAATTTTAAAAAAGCTCATTGTTACTTACATTTCACCCTTGGCTGCGATTCTCGCGGCGTACATGGTCATCATTTGAAATCTCGCACAGTTATTATGATAAATGCTACTGATAACCAGCGGCGTGACCATACCCCTTGGGCTTGGTCCTAAAATGGTCGACTAGATACCTAGTTCAAACCAAAGATCAAATAACCCCGCAAAGCGGCGCAAGATGACGAATTTCACCCTAAATATACGTAAAACGTTGTAATCGCATAGGCGCCATTTGAGCAAGCGATACGCCTGCGCAGTGCACATTAATGCACAGGCGCAGGCGCCGCGGCAGGCACGTGCACCTGGTGAGCCCGCACCCGGCCAAGCATGACCCTAAACTGCGCAGGCGTATCGCTTGCTCAAAGGTGTCCATGGTAATTACATCTTTCGGGCAGAGTTATCCATCTTGCGCCTTCGGCGCTATACGATCTTTGGTTCAAACCATCCATCGTTGGGGCGGAGTTAACTATATAGTCGTCACTCGAACTTGCCCAAACATTCACCGACTTTAACTGCATGACGTCACTTGAGGAGCAATATACCAGCCAGGCATTTTGAAAAGAAATTGTAATTTGAAGGGCGCGCGTATGCCCACCAGCTTCATGAATTTTATCGCAAAAAGTCAAAATATGAACGCAAGTTACGAGACTGGCTTCTCATAACACAAGCGCCCCACACGCTGGTACACGTCGCAATTAAGAAAATTTCATCTGACTTCGCGAGAAAACCCTTGACAAAGGTCGGGCAAATGCCTATTTACTTTGTGTGTTGAAAAAACGCCTGGCTCCAGCACCTTATTGGCAGAGTACGAGTGAAAATTAAAGCCCTCTTTAACTGTAAAATTCGAAGAGCTTATTTGCCGATGAGGATTAGACTTGGCCGAACACGATCGGTGACGCTTCAGCTGAGTTGAATAAAGATAATGAGTAAAGTGGATATAGTTCCGAGTATATAGAAGATCATGAACAAACGGTCGACAACCTGTGCCACCTGCTTCCATTCTCCTCGGATGAAATCAGAATGATCCAAGCTATCATAGTGCTCTCGTACCACGCGCATGTGATCCATCATCCGTCGCAGAATGTCTATCTGCTGACGGCAGCACGCCCTCTCGGGACCGTCTCTGTGCAAGTTTCGAGTGGTGTTGTGCATGGCCCGTATTGGCGACTCATCTCCCGGCGTCTGGTGATTCTGATGCAGTGGGGTCGTCAAGTCCATTATTGATGTCTCGCTCTCCTGCATACGCATGAAAATCTTATGATCTTTGCTCACTGCTTTGTTCCTCTGGCTTGGTCTCGGATGCAGCCGCAATATGGGAGCTAGCTTATTGAGGAAGATCCGCCTCATCCACCTTGGAACGGGTCGGCAAGTTGGTCCACGATGATGAAGATTCAAGACAATGACTGTCAACATAATAGAGATGGACACTAGGAGCATAGTTGCCGCATAGTACTGACCTAGAACATGCAAAGCAAGAGAGAAAAGAACGAAAAAAACTGATCAAACGAAACCTAAGTTAGATGTGTCCGAATTGATTAAAATGAGACATGGACTAACACATACCACTATGAAAAGTGTCGCAGCCATCTGAGTGAATAAACCGTAAGCGCACGTGTTATCTCTGGTCGCAGCAATTTCAGACGCATCCTTCCTGACATACCTCTATGACATCTAACGGGACGTGGCCGGGGTCTGCTGGTTATAAAACAACCCGAAATACCCACCAAGTCGGCAACACCACGTTACATGATTAGCGCCACCATACGGTGCGTGCAGGCATGTCTCCGCTCATCAGACGATGTCTGCTCGCAGACAAATTCCATCTTTTATAAGCCTTTCCTTAAACGGCCGCCATAAACCCAAGCAGGTGTTTCGTTTAAACCTCAATTTAAGGCGTTTGACAATTACCACCTCAAGTTCCACAAACTTTACTCAAAGCACGCACAATCTTAAGTAACTCGAAACAACTTGATTATTGATTTGTTGTTTGTTAGCTTTTGTATAAATTGTTTCACCATATAGACAATGGTTTTATCATTGAGTATTTCGTTTCCTTTATTCCTGTTTTTTCTTTTTCTTCAGTTTAGGCTTCTATTCACAGTGAATATTCAATATCAGCAACTCACAATTATGTTCTATCATGGAGTAGAATGACGTAAACTACATTACATTTTTCATTTATGGAACCAAAGTAGTCCGTAATAATTATGATGATGTTCGCTGAAAGCATCTATACGACTACCTGGCTTGAAGCTATAATCAACCCCATGGCATTTACTTCCACGGGGTCAACTTTGTGGCGCGTACAATCATTTTCGAATCAACATGATCAAAAACATATTAATAATCCGACGCGGTCGCTTCAGGGACTTAATTCCGAAATTAGTCATGTCATCTTAATGACGAAGCACTAGAAATGATATGAGAAAGAGTGCGAGCAACGATCAGGAAACCTCGTCTGCTTGGACTGAGCGGAAACACCTTTAGCTCTGGGCGGCCATCTTTATTCATTCCACGGTCGATGTTATGCGGCGCGAACAGGGTCGGAATCCGTTGTCAAGCTAGGATAAATTAAATCGGCCTTGTTGCACATACTCAACAATATTTTAAAGCCAGATGCACTTTAAATGGTCTTCACAGAATACCTTTGAGCAAGTTTGGGTATTATTTGTAGTTATTCACGTGACTCGTGTACAAGTCGGCTTACGCCTACAGAGTGCTTGTGTATACACGTTGATTGTACTGTAATGATCAGTTGGGTAGATCGCAACCTAAATTTGATCTATTCCGCTTTCCACCTTGGTTGCTCCGTCCTTCGAATCGCAGTCGTTCCATTGGGTGAGCTGATGAGATGTCACTCTCTTTTGTTTCCGTGGATTTTCCTCTGAGTGAACTGGGAGGCAACTTCTTGGAGTTCACTCCCAAATTAAAAAAGGGGCAAAACGAACAAAACGGCTAAAACAGCACTTCATTGATTGTCTTTTCCCCTAACACTTTTAAATAAGTTGTGCTACATTCAGATGTCCTTGGTTAATCACTGGTGTGAAATTAAGAACAACTGAAGCGCAGATAACCTCAGATCATAAAGTGGAGTTTAGCCTCTACCCGGGCCCCATTACAGCGCGTGCGCACGCATGCGCTCCTAGAAACTTCAAGGCAAATTGACCAAACGAGCGTAAATCTTGTTTTCTCGAGGCCAACTCATTCGAGGATTCTTCATTGATTTAAAATCATTCAACTGTCAGACACCAGTTTTGCTGGAGAGCTAAAGCAAGAAAATTCAGACCATTTTTTTTTTCAGAAGAGTGAATTACATTGTCTCAAGAAGTTTGGAGCGGAAAATATTTCTGTCGAATTGATACATATACAAGACGAAGTAACAGTTTGATGCTTAATTGCATCGCCATCTCCACAGCAGTTGATAGATCTGACTAATGATTTATGTCGCTGACTATCAACGCGCTGTATATTTGATCCACCCTCAGGAGTACGATTAAGTGAAAAAGGGCAAAACTTCAATTACAAATCTGCATTTGACGTAACAGGCAAGTCCAATTCATTAACCTTTGCAATAACATCTCTCGCCTTTGGTCACTTGTAAATAAATTCCTAGATATTCTTGGCACTTTTTCACCACCTAAATATAGTCCATAAACGTGCTCAGTGCGCACGTACAATCTTACTGTAGGACACCCACACACTAGCATTGTCACAGTTGATCAACGGATACGAAAATAAGTGAACGAAGCAAGTTCACCACACACGACCCGAATAAGAGAAACAAATATGATACCAATCATTCGTTAGTCTTGTAATTACTGATTCGATTCCAAATTTTACAATCTTATATTGGCAGTTTAGACGTTTTCGCTGGTCATATAAAGCCAAACTGTGGGCTTATAAGTTTGTATCGACAAGGGCACCTTCTTGAACTGCCACAACGAATTGTTTAGACTTCAGTATGTTTTGAATAAATTGGAACCCTTAATTGAGTTGCAGGATGAACATCTAAATAATTACATACTGTTGCTTGATAACGTACATAATTAATAATCAACCGGTGCAGGTTTGAACTTTAATGCATGAGGTTGACGACGGACTTACCAATAACCGGCACGTGACTTGAAGGAGGCATAGACTCAGCTATCAGAAGGAGAAACACGGTCAAAGACAGCAGCACAGTGATACCCAGGCTGACCTGAGAAAATGGATGGAAAAGGATACAAACTGAAGATGATTAAAACGGGTTCACTGAGGAAGAGGATGGAATCTTTGCAAAACTAAAGCCCAAATTAGGCACTTAAATTCTTATATTCCACTCAGTTTCATTGCAAATGCAGCATCGCTTATTGCTTTTTTGTGCTTTAGTTTGTAGAACATGTCTCAATTGAGGCAAAACGAGGAATTCAGGAGGATGATTTTTTAGCTTTTAGTGAATTGGCTTACCTTCTCCCCTGAGTCAGCTGGCAGGACAAATCCCAGGATAGTAATTCCAGCAACGAGAACGCATGGCATAACCAGATTGAAGACGTAGTATAGCGACCGACGCTTGAAATGCATGGTATACACCACGTCAGTGTATGGAATACCGGGTGCATCAGGGTAAAAGTTGACGTCTTGTCTCACGTCTAACCCCTTCATGTCCCATTCTCCATCGCTGATGAAGACTGAGGTATCACCTTTCAGAGGCGGAAACAAACATCAATTGTTGACCATTATAGCCTGGTGTTACGATTCGTCGATTTCAAACCTTGTGAGTATTAATTGAATGTTAGGTTTGAGTCCCAAAAAATGCCTACAGTGCGCTTATAACCCCGAGATTCCCTTTCATTAGTCGACTATAGATTTACAAAATTAATACTTTTGAATATAATGCCGAGGAACTCTTTATCATTGATAAACCAGCGGCAAAATTAATTGGTTTTGTACAGTATATTTTTTTTAAATGTTTCAAAATGCGTATGTCATCCTACGCCATTAGATTCACCAAATCCACCGACTGGTTTACGTATTCCTTGTCTTGAGAACCAGAGTCGTAGTATCTTTTTGGTTTTTGGTTATGTGTACATGGAAATTGAGAGCTATACCTGTGCCAGTTAAGTTGACCTCTGTACCATCATACTGCCAAGGGCCAAACTTGAGCTCACAACTTTGTTTATCGAAGGGGAAATGTGTGACATCGATATTACAGTGCGACTTCATTATGACTGGAGAGGCCCAATTGATGTTACCGTCATTGTAAATGATGCAAATCTTCTTGGTTAGGTAGGGAATGTAGTTATCTGCAGCGCTGTAAAGAAGATTTAATCAAGGCAAGACTTCTCAGTGTTTTATGACAGTTCAGTAACTTTGCTATAAAAGTAGCAACGAAGCAGTCAGTGAGCGGTATATGGAAGTGATCACTGATATTTTACTTCAGAAGAAGCTAGGTCACAACCAGCAGCAGTATTCATGTTGGAACTTCAAATACATGTATAGACCTTTTTCACCCACGTGACTGGATTGCGCTAAATGTAAACTATACCACCACGTGTGGACCGCCTTGGGCGATCGCATATATTCCTATACGGGCAGCTTCAACCACGTGCAAGCGTTTAGTTTATCTTCAATAGGTAGACTACCATCCCAACACTATTCACTCAATACCATCACAACACATCATAGGTCCACCATGATCGTGACATCACAGGAAAAAAGTTCCATACATTGTGATGTTTTCCTTTCTCCGTCCAGTATCCACGATAACATATTGCACATCTACCTTTAAGTAATCAAACTTGAAATCCTCTGTTCTCGATCACAACAACTTTACTCGGACCAAATCTGTCATCACGGGATCATCAGATAGATTTATGGGCAGGTTTAATTAAAAGTCTCATCAGACGGTGCAGCGTGATGAACGATATACGTGCATTGCTTTCGATCAAACCAAAAGATTTCGATTTTTGAATGTCGGATGTACTTTGACTACGAAGGGACCTTGGAGGATTGCATCCTGTCCAAAAGTTTGTATAACCCGTCACCCCTGCCATGGAGTGGCTAAGTTTGCAAAGAACAGAAACTTTCTGCTCAACGAAAGCTATTACCAATCATGAACGTTGCAGTGGGATAGGACAAGCAGTGACCCCCCCCCGAAATATTGACTAGTAAAAATAAAAAATTAAAAAGGAAAGAGAAAAAAGCAGAAGAAATGAAAGAAGAGATGGAACGGAATGAAAATCACTAATTTGCTTGAAAATAATTCAAATTGACCTATTTCCATTGTCTTTGTTTTATCAATTTGTTGCTAATAAGTGCTTTGCGCCCGCCAGGGCAATATCCGGGAGACGTCCATGTTTACCAATGAACTATATACCGTGCAGTGCTTATTACTTTAGCTTCGTTTTCAGCTCAATCTTATTAGCACACAAATTTACTAACAAATTTTTTCAAGCTTAGCAGGTCTCTACCTGGATTCATGCTTACCAGTTCTACGACGTGATGTCAGTGTTTTTTTATGTTAAGCAGGTATCCACCATGTATTCATGCTTACCAGCCTTTGTACAGCGTGATGTCAGTGTTTTTTTCATGTTAAGCCGGTCCCTACCAAGATTCAAGTTACCAGTTGTTAAGCGTGATGTCAGTGTTTTTTATGTTACGCAAGTGTCCACAGTGTATTCGTGCTTACCAGCCTTTGTACAGTGTGATGTCAGGGTTTTTCATGTTAAGCCGGTCCCTACCAAGATTCAAGTTACCAGTTGTTAAGCGTGATGTCAGTGTTTTTCATGTTAAGCCGGTCCCTACCAAGATTCATGCTTACCAGTTGTTAAGCGTGATGTCAGTGTTTTTCATGTTAAGCCGGTCCCTACCAAGATTCAAGTTACCAGTTGTTAAGCGTGATGTCAGGGTTTTTCATGTTAAGCCGGTCCCTACCAAGATTCAAGTTACCAGTTGTTAAGCGTGATGTCAGTGTTTTTCATGTTAAGCCAGTCTCTACCTGCATTCATGCTTACCAGTTGTACAGCGTTATGTCTGGCATCCAAAGTAGCTCCGAATCAACTTTGAGTTTGGTAACATTTCCCCATTCTTCTGGGTCCCAATGTATAAACTCATCTTTCCACACCTTGAAAAAAAATCATGAGTAATTTTAAACAAAAATACCCAATATCAAAGTTGATAAAACCAGTATAGTAAAAACAATAAGTGTTTAGCTTTAGAGAGTTTGAGGAGGTAAGAACTTACATAAGTGACCCACATGTTCGTTGTCAGTGTCTGCTGTCTCTCATCCTGTTTATATACAACGAAAATAAAAGTTAACATAGTAATACTTCAAAATCTTTTCAATTCTGCACCTTTTGAAAGGAATTGAATCCCAAGTTTGTTTATTTTATGATTACAATGTTCCCTTTGAAAAAAAGAGAAACTCCTGAACTTCCTACATACCATGTCCAGAACCTGAGCTACGTACAGAAGCATTCTGACCTCAGTAACTGTGTTCACGCTGAGAACTGGCCGAACATTGTGATTATATCCCTCGTCTTCAAACAATTTTTTGAATAGTTTCTTGCTGTAAACCGATCCTGTAGCTCCTTCGCACACTGAAAAATTCAGAGAAGTTGGAATAATGAACGAAATACATGTACTGAGTTAATGATTACGTCTGTACTCCGAAGTAGCCATCTTTATTTGCGAGAGTATAAGAATTCCCAACCCACTTTCTATGAAAAAAACATGAATTATATTGTTGGCCAAGGCAACCGTAAGCCACCTTGAATTAAGGCTTCTCGTGAACGCGAGAGAGGACACTGATGTGACCCTGTAAATAGACTATGTCCCGCAGCAGTCAATTTGGAATTCAAAAACATATTGTTGCTACGTTTATACAGCGTCTACAATCAAACTTGTCACTCGTGAAAAGCCAAGAGCTGCAGTTTCATCAGGACAATCTTCCATCACCACCACACGTGAAGGGAATACTAAAATAACAGCGAGTGGAATTGTAAGGAAGATTAAAATACCCTTAAGGCAGTGTTTCTTGTTTTCATCCTTACCGTCTAAGGATGCAGGCTTTTGGAAGAAAGGCTCGTGGTCTAATACACCAAGGAAAGCGCACTACCACTATAAAATAGTATGCCTATTGAAAAACAAACCATTTTGTTATGTCCGTGTCCAACTTCAACTTCGGCCAGTTTCTTCGGTCACTTGCATCTAACTAATGAGTAGCACCTATTCTCTCAAGAGTGTTAAAATATGGACTCCGTCTACTCGGACATCCTTGACTGGAATAGCATAAACAGATTATCAACTGAACGCAGTTTAGCCTAAGGACAGACTCTGATCCTTCATACACGATTTCAACGATGACACTTCTCACGTCCGATCAAAAATAACAAACACAAGATCCGAATCCCTGTCGATTTGTTGATGGGGCTGAGACTAATTGGGAAAAGGGTCAGTGGAATGATTTGAAGGAACCCTAGAAATATTTCAAAAATTTTTAAAAGTCAGGTCTTCTCAGAAATGGCTTTCAGGCTTGCTTTACTGACCACAGAAATAATCACATATACTCCTAAGTTTTTGCACTACAAATCGTAAACCAGAAAATTACCGATTACCAAAGCTAAAAAATTGACACATATGTATGGCGTTATTGAAGGACGTGCTCACTGATCACATCATGAAGCAACAAAAATTAATAAGCATCAGTTAAAAATACAAATGCTTTTTCCATCATGAAATCCCGGAGCAATTTTTTCCAAATTAATATTTATGAAGACTGATAGTCCACGCAGACTACTCAGCAGCGAGGTATGACAATAGTCCCCCGAGTTAAAGTCGAACTGTTCTGTATTTAATTGCGAGCACATATCGCACCTGAGGTGCGGAGATGGGGCATGGTTTATGCAAAAGAAATTCTTTATCCTCATGCAAACTGATGCGACACAGCCTTATACTGAGTTCACACAAGGAACAGCCACTTCCAAGATCGATGCTAAACTAAGCATTACTTTGTACTTTTGCTGGGACCGTTGCAGATTGAATTCTTACAACTTAAAACATCTCGAGGCAAACTTCTAAAAGCCTACACCCTACGCGCCATAGGGACCGGTGTATATATTCAAGTGCATGACAAGAGAGAAAAATCCAGTTGTGTCTTAAAGCTACAGACTGTTGAAAAAAATCGAAACATGTTGACGAGGGCAGAAACTGAAGCTTGTTTTTCCTGTCATTTTTGTGAGAAGGTAGCCACGGAGAGTTGTCTAGATTTGGTGGGGTAAAATATTGCAGGTGATGCCTCGTGGTTATAGCTACATACCTTTATCACAGCTCGCCAATTAAGTCGTCATGTTGTAGGAGTAGGTATCATGACGTCTTGATGGACTGGAATTTCATGCACCATTAGAGCTCCACAAAAGGGGTGGGTAGTATCAAGAGCCCAATATAATGAAGATGACGTATCAAGTGCACTTTCTCTTTTAAAGGAGTACATTATTCGTATATTTTCATATACAAAAATCGATGTAGAAAGACCGGTAGCTTTTGTCATCAAGTGACGCGGGGACAAAGTTGGTGTCCACTAACAAATTTGAAAAGTTGACGTTATAAATTGTTAAACAAAAATGGGAAATCGGATTGTGTTAATGGAAACGCCGAAATCACAAATGACAAATACACCTTGAGAAAGCGTATTGTCTCAAATGAGAGAAAAGACCATTGCTAGAAATCCAGTGCTCTCATCGCTGCATTGATTGTTGATTTTGAAAATTCCAGGTCACGATAATGATAAAATTAAGCAAAACTGTCTCGTAAAAAAGGTAACATGACGTCATGTATGTTCTCTATCACACTCTTAATGTTAGACGAGAACAAAACAACAAAGTTTTATTATATCTCACATAAAACGCTTGAAAATCCCACCTTCGGATTAAAACAGAATGAAACTTATTCTACCATTTTTACCAATTAACAATAATTTCTAAGTGTATACGATGACTGCACTTTCAAAGGTAACACGTTATTTGGCGAAAAACTGGAAAAAGCCAAATCTCTATGTTTCGATAATATCTACGTACACATGTCCAGATGCATCAAGTGTTTCCGTGCAAGCTCCTGGGTATACGGCTTGATATTTCTAATTGAATTTTCGCAGCACAGATTTCCCTCAGCAGTAAGCTCACTTTATGCCCCAAGCATCGAAGGTGGGTCACACCGTATACTCATTCCTCTTGTCAGAACGAATAAGAAGCAGAAATGATGGAATACCAAGTCCATCCATGCAGCACAAAGATGATTACTGCCATCCGTTGACAAAGTTGATTGACTTTTGTCCATTTATGGTTAATTCCCGTTAATGACGTAGATATTATGAAAATTTATATAATTTAATTCAAAATATTGTACTGCCTCGAGGAAGCAAATTCCAACCAATATGTTAAACCGTATAGTCACAAGTACTGACGCACCATTTTTATTGACTGTGTTCCTTTCATTACATGTATCATTGGCCGAGCGCTTCACCCACGTCCTGTCTCTTTCAGCATTTTATGTTTAGAAAATATTACAAAGTGACTTCCTTGAATTCTCCGGTAAAAATAATCTACACTTAGTAATTGAACTGTAACTGCAACATCCCATTTGCTGTATGAAATCACCGAAGTCTTCATGATGGCAAAATAACAATAATTCATAATTGTCAACGCGATTCAGGAAACAATTTCGCATTTGGAATTGCATGGACCAAAATTTAACAGAACCGCTTAGGAGGGTCTTAAACGCAAGATTTCTTTCCGACAACATAGCTATATACTGCATGCAATTACTATTTGAAAATATATAATGAAGTTCAGCTTGTGTTTGCTTGGATCCATAGCCTTCACTACATTCCTCTTTTACTACTAACATTTTAATCTTGTGCCGTTGTGATCGAGTGGTATTTTCAGCAGTCATTTAGCAGATGTATCATCAAGACTACACAGGCAGTTAAGCAGTATCGGTTACTTGTTCAAGTGTTTTCGTCCTCAGAAGTGCGCACTTGTCTCTGTCATCCAATACTTGCAAAAAACGAAGGCCAAGTCACATTCGATTGCCGGTACACGTCGTACTGAAAACACGCTTTGAGTTTGACGTGAAAGCTGTAAAATATCTTACAGCTTTAGCGCCATATTCTAAAATCTAGAAAATGCTATTTGCAAAGCAACAATACAGACATGAAAAATACATTTACAATGTTCCTTACATTAGAATAAGTAGATAAAGCGTAAGTGTTATAAATGAAAGGGAATAAACATAATCGCTTTACCTGTAACTTGCAGGAAGATAAAGGCGGAGATCACGGAAGCAACTTTCATCATCAGCCTCTCCATTTCGATCAACCCGAAGGCTGTAATTCGTTTTACACACCTAAGACCGTCTGATAATCAAATTGAAGCTCACCACTCTCCACAATTTGTCCGACGAGACGCTTTTTACATTATTCAGTAGGATGGAAAGATGTAATCCACTTTCTAAACATCCCTTCATTGAGGCCTACTCCACTTGGTTTGAAGCTGAAAGCATGAAGATATCAGATCTTGGTATTGGCGCTCCAATACCGTGAACTAAGTACTAGATACCGTGTAAAGACACAAGGAACTCTCATCTTACTTTAAAGTTCTTGGAGTGATGCTAAACTGAGAGGTTCTCATTAGCGTGCTAAAGGCAGCTTACCTAAGGTTCATTTGCGCTGATGTCTACTCATATGAGGTGAACTCTATGCGACGGCGCAAGTACTAAAACCTTCTGCATGACCGGTTTACCTCAAGCCCGACGGCTGTTCCATTGTCGTGTCCAGACATGATTGAATCAATTTAGTGCATTCCAACAGATTTTATTCAGAACAAATGCTAAATAGCTGTTGCTGAAGTTAAGTGGAAAAATCCCTGATTCAATTAAAAAGACGAATGAATGAATGAATATCATTTTAAGGTCCTAATTATAACAACAACAACAAGATTTCTGGTACCATACAATGACTGCTGATTTTGGTGAGGAAAATTCGTTGACAAATTGAAAATGCGTTACAATGTATGATTGAAAATGAGTAGGGGCCTATTTTTTAGTTTTAATTCTGTATGCTGGTTATACAAACTGACGAGGAATTACTCATGCATAGGACTTAAATGGTGCCAGGTTGGGGTAGCATAACTATTTAATGAAACAATTTTAAGTGATACCAAAATGGCTTCATGAATAAGTTCATTAACATCAGATGCAGTGGTGTGTAACGTAAACGTGATTTCACATCCAGACACTATATTGAGCTTTCGATTGTGTTACGTTATTAAATATAGCACCAGAAAGGTTTTGCGTGTCTTTCATTTTATTGAAGGAATGCAATCACTACACACACAAATCATTTCCAAAGTGCAGAATGATATCACCTAGATATTTTTCTGACTGGAAATATTGTGCGATTGCAAGGAAATTAATTATTGACGAGAACAGGCACAAATATCGATTTGCAAACAGATAAAGAAGTGAAAAATAACCAAATTATGTGCCCGTTTTACTTCCTTCAAAACTTAACAATCTCGGTTCGTACGTCTGCCTTCAATTTTCCTAGATTTCATGAAGCAGGTCTAAAAGTGCAATTTTGCAGTCGGCCTGAGTAGTATGTGCATGCCGTTAGTTCATCTCGTTTTGACGGGTTTTAATTAAGACTGATTTTGATGACTTAAGCTGATGTCACGAGTTAAGTGGGTCAAGAAAATGACAAAATGATGAATCTAAGCATTTTTGTCCTCTGATATCCTGATCGTGTTGCTTCCGGGCAAAATACGCCTGTGCATGCTTTGACCTAAAAAGCTCAAATCATTAGGAATTGATCTGAGTAACGTCGAAAATTGAAGAGTACAATTTTATGCCACACGAACCATGGCTGTAATCACGGGCGTTCCTAGCTATAACATCAAACACATACTCCAAGTTGAATCTAAGTGTACAGAAGCTACACAACCTAATCAAGTCAAACCTAATTTAGTACGTCGTTCTTTCTAAAAGCCGAAATAACAGACAACACATTTTGCATTACTGACGCAAATACAGTATTATTAAAAATCCAAGGGTAAGGGGCTGAGATCCGGTCTCGTTAACGATGTACTTATACGAAATACGCTGGAGGCAGCTATGTTATTAGTACGTGTTGTAGAGTCGTCAGAAACTTATGCAGAACGGAAACTGGTCCAATACATTCATGACGGTGTGTGTTCGTGATACATTAGCAATTCCAATAAACGCCAAACCTTCTGTTTTTGACAAGATCAAATGTCTACTTCACTTCTTCTTTCCAGAAAGTCGATGGCCTCTCAAGTCAGTACTCCAAAGAACAGCGAAACTGAGCTACTGGACAGATTCAGTGAACAGTAATAGTGCGGCGATGTAATCGTAAATGATTCAAATGGCAATGTGGATTACTCCTCGAAGCTACTGACAGTCATGGTAGATTTTTAAAAACACATGCAGCGCTGGAAAATTTGCTCCAATTTTACTTATGCTTGACAGAACCGGCGAATTTTCTCCACCACCATATGATGCCATCATTCTGTGCTCTTTGTTTATAGTTCTTCCTGCTCAAAATCAAGTCAAGTAGGGAGATTTTAGAATGTAGACCTGTCAAGATGTTTAGCCTACTGACGAAATATAAAGTATGGTCACACTCGTGGCCAGTTCCACATGACAATAAATGAACCGAAAATGGTGACAAATCAAACCCTGAATGGAGGGAACAATTTACACTTTACACAAGACCAAAATCAAGTTTAAGAAGAAAGCAAAAAGACACCTTCGCCTATTTGCAGTCCTGTGCGGCTCCATGGGTACATTTGATGTTATTCCTGTGACATCATATCACATAAACATGACAAAAATGGATAAACCACACTAGAGATTGAAAACGCAAACAGACGAATGCGTAGAATAGAATGGCAGAAAGAAACGGGAAATAGCTGGCATGACAACTTTAAAGAATTCAAAACAAAAGGAATTGCATAGCTATAAGGAAGGCCATGTTAACACATCGAGTCACATCGACAAATTACTTAAACCTTTGAGCTTATACAAGGCTTCACTGTGGACAGTGAGCAGGCAATTTTTCTCCGAACTGCTGAATTTATTTTCAACATTATACTGAAGAGACCGACTCGCCAGCACGCGCACAACTTATCGTGGTATTTGTTGCTATATGCGATCTTCATGAGGTTAAAAAAATAGATTGAACGGCATCATTGTCAACATGAAGGTTCAAACGTGGTCACATATTTTAATTGTCTTCAGATTAAGTTTCTTCAAAACACTAATTGGCTTGATATCGAGTCAACCGTTCAGTATCGATAAAAAAGTAAGTTATCTTTTACAGTCAAAACGTAAAAAAATGACGATAATTTGGATAAAGCCTCCATGTTGGTTGTAAATTATCAAGACAAAATACACCAATTTAACACGGTGCAAGTCGTTTGTGTAACGGGCATATCGACCTACAACTCTCAGTAAAACCTGTCATTTGGTGTCTAGTTCACACCGTTAAGAAAAACACCAATGGAGAAAGGTAATCAATGTTTTGGTGAGACAATGTCGGCACGCATTAGGAGGAGAAGGTGGGGAAAGAGACAGGAACACCTGCCGTGTGCCCGGAAGCAGACAGAGACAGAAATCAGTTCAAATCAGAGTAAGAGGGAAAAAAGCTACAAACCAGCCATGAGGCATTGGTGAGAATACCAAATGAAGAGGCCTCATTGTTTGAACTCAACACAAAGCATAACTATGGAAATTAAAGTGAACTACTAAACAAAAAAGCGAGACTCGAGAGTGCACAGTAAACAAATGCGATGTTCATTTAACGTCGAGTCCATCCCAGTTTTGGCACCCTTACAGAAAGCATAAGTGGTCTGATGTCAGGAAGCTTGCATGTTCAAAATGTAATGTAAATTTTGATTAGAGATTGCATGTCTACAAAGGTTTGTTCAGTAGGACGATGACAGGCACAGCTATGGGCCGGGCCTATATAGGGCCTAGATCAAAGTACAACTAATTCTGATGGACAAAATTCTTAGCTTGATAATTGAAGCTGTTCAGAAATGTTCAGTATTTGCTGAAATTATTCTCTGATAACATTTTGCCCAAAACAATGGGAGCAGCAGTAATGTTATTAACATGTATTAACAAACGTGTGACAGCGGCAGCGATACTGAAGGCAGCAACGGCCCCAGTATCCTCAGTGACATAACTTGGTACATCGCCTAGGGAGCGCGTCCACGACTCCAGATTCTCACTTCAAGCATAGCTCTATGCTTGAAGCAACAGAACTTTCCTTCTTGAGCAAAAAAAAAAGAAAAAAGAATACATTATGCAGCGACGCTATTCACCTGCCGGCACAGCTTGGCAGCTGTAGGCACCTGTTTAAGTGCCCCTAGGTTGAGCTTGAAACAAGTGATTATATCATTGGCATAAAGCGTAATAAATCCGAGAGAAATGTTTATCTATTTACGACTGGAAAACCAGCAGTGACTGTCTTCACAATTCCTAGTTAGCGTATCTGTATAAGTTATGTAAATGTTCGGCCAGTAACACTTCCTATAGCACATTCACTTCAGTGACGTCGGTTGTAACCAAAAATAGCAGTAATTGAAGTGCTTAGCTTGATAAGACCTGTTAATGACCATGCCGCTGACTCGACGCCAGTATCTTGATGGAGAGAACCTTCATGTCGCAAAGGGTAATCAGAAGAAAGCGGCATTATAATTATTAAAAGCACTTCCTTCGTACCGGTATACATCTAATTTACTCAACTTCCATGGAAAAAAACATTTCGTGACCTTCAAACGTGGGGAAAAGCAGAACCAGAGCGAATTTTTCACTTCACATAAAATCCATCAGCATACACGAGGGACAGATTGTTCCTGGTTGAATTGGGAATAGGCCTAAATGACCATTTAGTATGCAGCACAGTGTGATGGTCAAACGGCCTAGGTAAACAGTCTCGTTCTTGTCCCTTAATAACCACAGACAAGACTGTTATTGATTTATAATTCAAGATGAAATTGATATAGACTCCAGTTGCATTTTAACGGGAAGGACCTGTCCGATTGCTAAAAGATGTTGGTTTGTGATCGAGAAGGATTTTGAGGAGGGGTAGGGTCATATCACGACAGGTGAAAGCAGAGAGGTGTCACAAGGCAGCTCGACTTGCCTTCATATTTTGGTACAATGTAATAAAGGCAGTTCGTCATTTCCACTGAGATAGGAATATATGAAATATGATACTCAATCTTTCGCTCACCGAAGTAAGTATAGTGACGCATTTGATACATCAACTGGTAAATTTCCACACATACATGTATCTTTCTTGCGGGTTTTCCCTCCAATTTCACCAGAGGCTTATCCCATGGAGGAAGGATAGGGGCGGGTAAAGTCCCCCCCCCCACATATACACACACCTTTAGACATACTGCCAATTATTATTATATTTAAAGCACAGGCACATAAAATCTGCATTACAACATGATCTGGGATGAGGATTCTTAAAGGGGTTAAAAAAAAAAAGAACAGGCGTTTGGGGGAAAATTCCATTTTTTCCAAGATTTAAAAGGGGAACTGGCTTTTGATATAGGGACACACAGAGCAAAATCAAACATGAAATTGGTGCTATTGCAGTGGTTGAATTCTTGAAGTATAAATGCCTCAAATCACTGTTATTTGAGATCCAAAGGCTTAAACATTATTGCCGAGTATTCTACACATACATGTAAGTGCAGCTGCTGTATCGACAGGGGAAGCAGAGTTCTGTTATCATTGGCCGGCCTGGCTGGGCGGCCGGCAGCCCGCCTGACATTTCGAACAATTCACCCTGCCGTCTGAACTCTCGCAGAATCGACTAACAAAAGCACTACTAGAAATTGGACTGCTTTCAGACCAAACTATGCCGAGACAGCAGCGGTAATATCGAATGTGTTGACACAATGCAATGTCAGGAGAAACATGGCTGACCACCTGCGTGCCTGTTTGAATACAGGAAACTAGGTTTATTACTTACCAACTTCAGAAATTCAAGAATTGAGAAGCAGTGGATGTGTTCTTAAAGCTAAGAATTCAGCCACGACAGGACATCGAACATTACTACTTCAGATGATTCGCGAAAACAGAATTTTGAAACGAATATATGCCAAAAATACACCCGAATGTGAAAGAAATATCTAGAATGGTTCACTGGATTTTGAAATTTATTTGCACTATTCTACGTCTCTCGCGAATATATCTTTTTTGTCTGAATTCTAAAATTCAAACATCAAAAATTCCACCACATTTTTGACGTAAATACATGTACATCCACATGCTTTGGTACACATTTCCTACAAAAAGGTAAAATGTTAACAGCTGTAAGAAGCACTTGCTGTCATGCCAAATATGTAAATTTATGAGCAATTTGGTGAATAATGAAATTTGTCATGAAACTGTTTTATACACGCACAAAAATATTTACAGTGTGCACATAATTCACTCTTCAATGCCCCCAAAAAATAGCATTTGAGTGGATTTTAATTGGAAGGTCATCTATACAGCAACTATGCAAAACGATAACCACTGGCCCAGGTAATGAATTCAATGTTTTATTGAAGGACACATCAAATTAATAATACAGAAAGACCCAAGGTATAGGATTTCCCAAAGGCCTACATAATCAGTGCTAATTATCCAAAGGTTACTTTTTCATGTAGGAATATGGCCTTTGTAATTAACAAATTATGTTAATAAAATGCAAAAGCATTAGATTTAAATTACTAAATGTCAGACTAGCAAAAATGAGATATTTCTAGAATCTCGGACCATTTTCAAACAACTTTTGCAAAGCAGATCCTCAAATAATTTAATCCATCTTCCAAAGTAATCAACAGATATGTATATACATGTAGGTGAATACAAATACATGTATAATACCTATGCACCAAATCTCACGTACAGTGTACATGTGCAGGTATACGGACCCAAATTCACACGTGAAAACCAAGAGTATAAAAATGCGGTTTCAGTTAAAACCAAATAAAAGCAATGCATTATATTCAGTTGGAGAAAAATCACAAGTTGAACACGTCAACATTTTCAAAGTGAATATGACGATGGCCAATAAGAAACACTGTAAAATTTATATTAATGGGATCAATCAGCACGGTGCTGTGACATCTTCTCCCAACAGGGGCCTTCAGGGGCCACTATTAGCGTTGGACTCCTCGAGTCAGACTTTCCTGAATCAACTTGTTATAGTCGCTGATCTGAGTCTTGACAGTGGCCACTAGAGGGCGGTAGTCACTTTCCATGCTCTTAGCTGCAATGACTAACCAACAAGGTCAAGGAAATTAAACCAAAAGATGTACGTCAATGACTCCTAAAATATCTTACTGTAAATGGTCAATATGTTTAAGTTTTAATGATTACATTTCAGTTAAATAGCTACTTGTGATTTTCATGCCCAAATCCTAAATGATGGGAGATTTTGGCCAAAACCATTTGATGTTCAATACAAGACACACAAAATCAATGAAGAAAAACCAAAAAAATCCTCTCCCAATGTCTGTAATGTAAGGCTCATACAACGTTTTTATTCACTATGAAAATACTATTTCTTCATGAAAAGGATACATTCTTTCATGACAAAGTTGTTCTGCTCATGATGTTGCCACTTCCGTTCCAAGTTTCCCAGCTGGGCATAAGTCTCGTTCTCATTTAGCTGAGTTTTTGTTGCTTCATAATGAGCTGACAGTTCTTGCACAGCTGAAATAGATAGGCAAATAAACTGCATTCCATTATTGATATATATAATCATTGAGTTTCTGAGATATGCCTAATTTCTCATAAATTTATTCCTTTTAATATTTTACTAGTAGGTGCAAGGTCATGAATATAAGAACTACAGATCATGCCCCAACGTTGCAACGGATCATGCTCCAATGGACTTTAAGAGTAACCCTATGAGGGCGCTATTACATACTCTTACCCTGCTTAAAGGTATCCCTTCTGGTAGTCAGTGTTACTTTTTCCTCTTGCAACTTCTGTACAAAAGGATGGAAAAGAACTTGAGGAAGTTTTCATATGTAAATTATCTTCTTTAGAAGATGTTGTATGATGACTCAGTTTCAGGGAATTTACATATTGCTAAAGGCTAGTTTTGAACTCCAAACCTTGCTGATAAATGACAAACGAAGGAAAACATCAAAATGTCAAATAGTGCTGTTTCAAGACTATACACCCTCCAAAAAACACAGCCACCTGACAAAATGACACTCATTATATGCCCATCATGGAAGATGGCAGCCAGCACCCTTGCTTCAAAGTGGTTCTTGGCCCTTTCACCACAAGAGGGCAGTCCTTAAACAGATCCACTGAATCCTACCTGTTTTCTTTGGTCAGATTCAGCACGTAGTCGATTGAGGTCAGAGTACTTTTCCAGTTCTTCATTCATGGTGTCAATCTTGGCCTTTAAAGTCTCCAGCTCAGCATTAATCTTAGCTTCCAATTGCTCTACCTTTTGAAGGTCCATCTGAAGACGAGCACTCTCTGAGAGAAACAGAAAATGAATAGCATCCAGTCTAGCAAGAAGGTTTCTTGAACACAATTTCAACATTCCACAACACAGTTTAATTGCTGGAACCAAACCTGGAAATGCCCAATGTTTCTGTACAGAATTTAGAACAATCTCCTCCAAAATTGGATCATGCTGGATGCACTTCTTGATCCAAACAAAAGGACAAAGATCTGAATGAAACACTTCAAAAGAGCAACATGAGCATTTCGGTTCCTTATCATTCAAGACAGCATACAGAATCAAAAACATCGAGTAAAGTCATGATTGTAAGACCAAGGAGTTCTGTTTACTTTTCCTTTTACCTTCCTTATTTCAAACAATAAACATGAGCATTGATAGCGGTTGATGTGATTGGACACAGTGGTTAAACTATCATTGCCGGATCATTGTGCCGATTACCTCCTGCCAACGAGGTTGCTGTAGCCTCCGATTTCTGCATCTCTGTTTGCTTAAAGCTCAAATCATCCTGCATCCGTGCCAATTCCTGCGGACTGGGCATGTGTTTAGTGCGACCCAAGTTCTACATTCAGGGGAAAAAAGTGAGGGGATGTCAGGACTGAAATTAGTCAGTAATTCCACTCACTGACTCTTGTTTCAACCACTGAGCTAAGTTACATCAGACAGTAAAGTGGCAGTAGCATTTAACAACTTGTGAAGAGAAAGTGTTCACATTACGAACCTCTGTTTGTAACTGTGACATCTACTCACCCTACTCAGATGAGACAAGATAGCAACAATGTTTTCCTCAAGGTTAGCCTTGTGTTCCTGTAAAACAAGACACAAATGATAAAGATTTGATCTTTTGGCTTGTTCCTCTGGCTAAATCATTCTGAGCAGGGAAACCAGGCTGAATTTATGATATCGTATCATTCTTATAATAACTAGTATCATTCTCAATGTAACTTAAAGTTCTGTTGAACTCTTTTCAACTCACCATTTCCTGGGATTTGGTATCTTCAAAGCTCTCCAAAAATTCTACACAAAAGATGCAACAGTAGTAATTCACACAAAACTGCTGCTTTCAAGTTCACAGCACATGTATTTAAAATTCTCATATAACAACAACCCTGTTAATAAAATTTTGCATATTATGAATTTCACTAATCAGAAATTTCACTTTTGCTGTAAACAACTTTTAAAAATTATTGAGTTTTGCATACACTGCCTACCTTCGTTAACTGATACCACCTGCTCCAGTTTATTTGAATCAAGTTGATTTTTAGATTTTACAAATCGCAACAACCTACCTGTCATTGTTTCATCTCTCTTCTTCAATTCTTTGTATTTCATGTTCTTTTCACCTGTTTCAAAAAAGATCACAAAAACAAAAGAACTGCAGAAAAAAACTGTCAAAAACTTTATTTTTGTGTAATAACCTAATTCAATGAACTTTTTCCAAACCTTGAATTTTGAAACTTGAAATTCAGTAGAAAGTTCAGATACTGTACAACTAACAACTTTGAGATTATCCTATTTTGATGTGAAAGGTAATCTCCGTTTTAGAGACTTACATTTCTGCTCGTTGGATAGGATTTTTCTTATTCCTTACCCTGATGTTCTTCTAGATCCATGTCCAATTGTCGTATCTCCTCCTGTAGAGTGTTAATCTGATCTCTGTATTCCTGTATTCTATCACACAGAAATGAAATGTATGTCCATGTACACTTGTATAAGTCAATATGTCTACACAAGCTACAAGTGGGTTATGCTCAGTCAAGTAATGTGACATCTGTAGAATATGTAGCTATGGCTATGGCTATGTAGGTTTGACTATCTATCCACTAACTCTTCAGTGTTTGAAATAGCCCATCTAACCTAAAGAGTCTATCTATTCAACCTGTATCTCAGAAGCACATTGTTCCATATTGTTAGGATATTTCAACTGGTTCCAGATTACAGACTGACTGTCTCTATTGTGAATTCCTAGGTGTTACATACTGTCTATCCATGCTGGCTATTTCTTGATTATCTTCTTTGACTTGTTTCAGGAGGCGTTCTCGTTCCTCTGTTGGTGTCCCCCGAGTCTTATCTTCAGCAATTAGCTGAGCTTTCTTCTCCTCTAGTTCATGGAGTTGCTCGTAGAGTCGAACAGCCTCCTGCTTCACCTGGGAATGTGACAACTCCTGGCAAATAGAAGAAAAGAACAAATCGTAAACTCTGAAACTGGAGACCAGTCCTCTTTCCTTCAAAGGTGTGGTCTGATTTAGACATTAAATGTTTCCTTGACACAAAGTCTCTCTCTGGTACTCTTCATGCATACTTACATCTTCCAGATTTTCTTTCTTTGTGTTGAGTGAGTCTAGTTCCTGTTGTCGTGCCTCCAGTTCACGTGCTAATGATTCATTAGTCTGTTTCAGTGTCATGTATTTCTGCCTCATCGGTGGATTCTGCAAAGTGCAAAGATGAGATGCATGGGTAGATGCTCAGTGAACTTACAG